GGATTGGTTTTGATGAGAATTCCTGCCAATCTGATTGGCTGTTGTGCAGATTTCATGCATCTACAATCGGGTCTGCCTTCACTCTGTGTGTACGGAGATCCTTAGAGTCAGCAATTTACAGCGAATCGATTATGCCTACCTGATTTGATATTTACTCCCTCTCTCCCACTTGTTTCTACAACTATCTTTCCTAAAGCTCGGACATTGAATCCTAGACCATGAAAGTGTCATTTAAGGCATAGTTGGAAATGTCTTCAAGGATTTATCATTTAAAATATTGACTTCACAGAAAGGCAACTCTAATGAGAAGTTCGATGAAGATATGGGGCAGGGATGGCAGGGCTGGTGCAAGATATTTTCCAGCAAGAAAGGTTTTTAAAGGAATGGCATCTTGATAAAAAGAGCCATGCTTTCCTCTTTTAAACTACATAGTTTTCACTGATGGGGGATCATCATGCTCCTTGAAATGGGCTATATTAAAGGAGACTAAAACGAGTGGTCTATAATGAGGGAGCTTTCGGAAAATGCGCTTTGGATACTCAGCACTGTACTAGTGACTGCTATAGAGCGAGAAGAAACTGAACTTTGGTTTTCACGAAACTAAGATCAACCTCAGTTGCAGATTCATTATATTAAGGTCAAAGAGATGGTGGTCAGGAAATGAAACTCTAGAAAAAAGATGCAAAAACCACGGAAGACTTTCGACAGACGAAGAATATGGTTTTCTTTTGCATTTTCTCGACAATACTTCTTCTAGAGAATCGCGAAAGAAAACAATTCAGACGTAGAAAGCATTTCGAAAATGGTTGAAGGCAGGGGCGCCTGCACAAGATAAAGGCAGGAGGGGCAGTGTTGTTGCTAAGGGCAAAAAGTAGAATTTTTTCACTACCATAATCATGTACTTGTAAGGGCGAGTGGTATAAAAAGAAATTGAGATTGGGTATTTAATGGCCTTATCATTATTAGAAATGTTTGGTTTTATAGGATTCATGGCAATTATAATTGGGCTAGTTCTAAAACTTTGATGGTCTGCTTAGTCTCAATTCTCTATGATTGCAGAATCATTGAGAATGAAAAAGAAAAAAACAATAAACACAACATATTTAAGGGCACTGCTTGTCCCCTTTGCCCCTCCTGGAAGAGGGCAGGAGAGGCAGCTGCCCCTGCAGCCCCTCCGTGGTAGGCGCCCCTGGTTGAAGGGGCACTTCAAATAGCAGAAAACACATACTTCTCACATAGGAACGTCGGGAGGGGCATATGTAGGCAGAAAACAGGGGCACTTACATGGGCAGCAAACAGATACTTTTTAGGGAAGTTGGGAGGGGTTACGGGACCACTGCGCGAAATAGAATAGAGAGATGGATCTTTATTGGCGAAAATACGATGTTGCCTGCGTTGCCAGTCTGTGTCAAACATTGTCGATATTCGATCTGGTCTCTGGCATAGCTTCTACTGTTTTACCTACAATAACCACATTTTTCAGCATTCTAGGCACGGCTCATTGCTCTTTTCCAACTACCTTGCTAAAAACTCTTAGATAACTACTCTTCAAAATATATCAGCTTGGCTAGTATTTTGATTTATTCTTAAATCTTAGCGGATTTGAGCCTCAGTATTAATTTAAACTATATTATTCTTAGAAAACTGTGTTGTTACCTCTTAGTTCAGACTCCTGTGACGTGAAGTGCCCCAATTTCCGCAAACTGGTACATAGTCTGCCTGTGGAAGTCATTGAGTCATGATAAATATTTAGATTTAATTAAGGTTTAGAACAAAATGACCTGATGATTCGGTATATCTAAAACAAGAAAAATCCAGTTAAAGAGGAAATGTCCATGCACGCCCTATCTTGAGGGTCGCTATCCAAAGGCGCTACAGGCATTTTCTTATACTGATCACCTTATTTTATTCGTAAAAGATTGCTACGTCAATTTAAAAATTTTTTGCAAACAGGAACTCCCAGGAAATTGTGAAATTGAGAAAGAAGAGATTCAAGCCATACGGAAACGCCTATCTAAGTGCTTGGTTTTACAGAATAATGATATCGTTTCTACCACTTGGCTTCCCCTGTAAGGCTGCAATCTTTGGAAAAGTATTTGCTTCAAAAGTAATTTTTTTTAAGGTCATGGTAAATGCAAATTGAACTTTAAGCCCTGGCAAAACGACTAAACATTTCACTCAACTTTTGTTTAGCCAAAAGTTTAGTGAAAAGTTTAGTCTTTTTGCCACCCTGTTTAGTGTTGTTTAGTCGTGTTGAGTGTTGTAGAGCAAAGTTTGATCGTGATCAAAAATGTTTAACGTTGTTTAGTGTTGTTTAGCAAATGCTTAGTCGTTTTGCCACCGATTAAACATTTGTTGTGATTGCGCAGGCGCTCTAGCTGTGAAAATCCAAAGGTTTTCGTCTGTTTTCGTTGATTTTCTTGTCTCTACGTGACCTAAAAAGCCTTTATGAGACATCTGCATATCTCGTTGTACGCCACTGTGTCTTCTTCAACAGTCAACTTTTTTGTTTATGTGCTAAAAAGTCTTTTCTTTCCCCGTCACTCCATTCTTATTTTTATCCACTGCTTGTGCATGGAACAAAATAAACCAAAAGCAAATTCCTATGCAAGATCCCCTACAACTCAACAGCGTCATAAACAGCTCGTAGTTAAAAAAGTTGAGTGAAGTTCAGTGAAACATTTCGTCACGTTTTGCCACCCTCGCTAAACTTCGCTCCACTTCACTAGACAAAAGTTGGGTGAAATGTTTAGCGAAATAAATTTTATTTCTCGAAAAACAGAATTACCCAGCACAAGACGGTATGTAGAATTATATACTGACTTTTGAAGAACACAGCAGGGTTGTTGTAAATAAACAGGAATGGAAGAGAAACCTATAAATAAACTTTTCTATTCATAAGAACAATAATATATATTTTTTGTTCTGCCGCCATACAATCCGAGAGTTCACTGTTACTCAGAAGATATCCGGAAAATCAAACGGAAAATCAAACGAAATTCGAGTTTTGTTCAAAGTTTAACCTCTTATTTGGATCACGAATCCTCGTGTGCCCTTATGCAAGGTGAAACCTGCTATAGACCTTGATACAAAAGGCAACGATTTAATATATTTTGCTAAATTTGCACATCTCTGTGTAACGAGCTCAGCGATTTTCTATCACGAGAAATAGTTGGTTAGAATGGAAGGGGGACAGTAAATTTACTCTAGTACTGGCAGATGATGGGTAAGATGTAACCAGAGAGAACTGCTAAAGAAAACTGCTGTCCACTTTTGCGAGAGAAACAAACTTTCAATAGAGGAACTTAAGACTGGGAGCATAAAATATCCACTAATATTTGCAGAAAACGTGGAAAAATAGAAGAATGCCCGGATCATCCAGCTTTGATCCCAATATATTATGGGAACAATATGGGACGTATTTGTTCCCAAAATAGTTATGAAAATTGCATTGCACAAAATTGATTTTGGTCTATAGCAAAAACATTTTCCGCGATTGAGTTTAAGAAAGTGTATATTAAGTAAATTTTTCCAAAAAGATCCTTCATGTGAACGGTGTGGTTTTATAATTTTTTGGAACTCCATCGCCAAATGTTTATTTCTTGACGAAGAGCTTAAACTGTTATCTAATTTCATGTTCATTTTTTTTCTTGAAACTTGTATTGACTTTATGCTCGTCTATGTTTCTAAAATCTCTGCATATATCAACTTTTCTTAAAACTAAACAGTAGTAACTTTCAGTTTCAGCATTTTTCAGGAGAGCACAGTTTTTGGTTCATCATGCATAACTTCTAAATCAATTGAATTTTTTTCTGTGTTCAAAAACAAAAGTAATGAAAACGTAAAACGACTTGGTGTTAGCCACAACTTTCGATCTCCTAATTTGTCTGGTACCTGAATGTAGGCATAGTTCCAAAGTTCCTTATTCGTAGACCTCAGTGCCATAAAAATAGTACAGAAACAGGAAAAACAAAATTTTAAATTTGGATTTTACTTGTGGCTAGAACTCAGGAGCAAAAACACAAAGAAGGGTATGTTAGTGAAAATTATCACTTGCGGTGTTTTGACTTCAAGGGGCGAGACAGCATATGCGAAAACTGCTAACACGAACAATCTATGCGAACATTGGCTCCAAATGAATGGAACCGGCTTTTTAGTTCTTGATGCTTGCAGTTATAAAAAATTTTCAAATCGAAAAGTTCCTTGAGGATTTCATTTTTAGTAGTATAAGTTCTTTAAATATTTCTGCCTTCTACATGTAGGTTCCTTATAAAGTGGTTCCTTATGAAAAAACGTGTATTCTTATTGGAAGCGATAAAAAGTTCCCTTGGCTAAAACCATATCCTGATTTAGTATTGAAGCTTTTAATCACAATTTTATATCTGCTCTGTTATTGCTCGCCGAAAAAACTTTATTATCTATTGTATACAAAGTTTGTACTTCTGAAGGGATTTTTGCAATATTGGACTTTCGTTTATTTTTGAATTTTGATAATTCAACAATCGCAGTTTGAAAACCCTTTATACCCTTAGAGTACCTCTGGTGACAAATTTTAATTCACATCCATAGAACAGGAAGGACAAACTAGCTCTGATTAATTTGATCAGACATAGCTTAGAAATGAGTCTGAATTGCATAAGTGAATACTTTGTTGAGTGAATAGAGCCTGGCAGGAAGTTCTGGACAAGATAGGAAGCGCCAGAAGTCGCAAGGGGAAGAGACGATAAAGGGCGTGTACCTGTGAGAAAGCTCGCAGAATGTTGATGCATGGCATTGTGTGTGACTTGACATACGAACATTCATCAAAAACAATACGGGACTTTTCAATCTAACCGCATTCGAAGGTTGCTGCTAATGCGTCTACAGGGCCGTAGTAAAACAGCTTCTTATTCGACCGGGTGGCGAGCAAGTAACTACACTTGGAGGTTTTCGATGCCCTTGCAGTTATGGCATTCAAAACAGTGTTTTCCGTCTTAATAATTCGCTGCCTTTTGTTTCAGGGTGCAATCTTCGACTTAGAGATATTATCGGACCCGAACAGAGCGGTTCCAAGATGCATGGGAGAAAATTTCGTGAGTATAATTTTCTTTGTCGTATTTTTTCCTTTGCTTAAACTTGAATTTTCTTTTGTGTTTATTATTTGGTAAGTCTCGAGACTTTCTTGACACCCGCTCATGGAATCAAGTTGTGGAATCACTGTATTTGCACACGAGTGTTTGCTATTCGTTCACAGTGACTCGTGTCGCTAAAAACTTATCGTTCATCATTTTAAATCTTACTTCCCCGTAGTAACACTAGGGTGCTTTGAACTACTTGTGCCCCAGAAAGTGTCAAAGACTTCTGGACTATCGCATAGGCAGAGTCGAAATTTATAAACTAAACACGACTTGCGCCCTATTCTATTCTTACATGGGACTGCGAGGCAAAAATGCATGAAAGCCTTGAAAGCGTGCTTATAGTTTTCTTTCTACGATATATAATAGTTAGTATGCCCTCTTCCCATTCTTGCTTCAAGGGTCAGAGTATGTAAAATATCAAACCCTTGGTCGCCCTTGACAATGATCTTTGTCTAACCCTTTGTGACAAGAACAATAAAAATCATCCCCATGTTAAATATGTTCTTACTCGAACAAATAGTCAACATTTCCCTGTTTAAACATTTTCTTCCGTTTCTCAAGGCTGAACAAAAACAGATACCTCGAGGTATTCTAACTGCTAACGTGAATCATTGCCACATGCCGATGTGTCGAAAAGACAGTAAAAATTGACTGTGACCAACCCTAATTCCTTTTTTGAAATTGTAAGTCCAATTTGGTTACGATTGGTGAAAATGTGAATATTTTGGCTTGGAAGTTTGAGGCGCCGGTGTAAGATTGCAAACCTGAACCTTGCTACAAACACAATTCGCCTACTTGACTGCATTCCTAGGTTATGAAAGATATTTAAAATTATCTTGCTTCTGAGCTCGAGACAACATTGGATTACTTGTGATTTCGGATAATACCATCTAAATGTCGGCCTAGCTAATGTGTTTAGAAATTCAAGCTGCCCCATAATTGCAAGCATTAGACAATGCTGTTGTTCCTGAATTCCCACGAAGAAGCAAAAGTGTATGTTTAATGCATTCGAACCGGATTTAATTTAAGTCTGATTGCACTCTTTTGCTGTAAAGAAACCACTTTAAAGTTGCGATTTCGAACTGTAATCTGATTTTATAAGATGGAGTTGTAATAATTAGGTTAGAGTCTCTGTTCTAACGAAAATGACACGCGAAAACTGGCTTGTTTTTATTTTCAATGGCACCATAGTCCAGTAATCGAGGCGTCACGAAAGACAATTTGCCCTTTTACATGTCTTTGGAGACTTTTCTTCCAAACTGAAGTGAAGTTTTATCCACAGGGCCCGTGCCACCGATTCTGAAGTGGGGGGAGGGGGGGCAAAAAGGGGGTTACCTATTTAACACCTAAGGGGGATTTGATACCTATAGTTAGCAAGAAAAGTGGGGGGCCGTGACCCCCGGCCCCCCTGTGGCGCGGGCCTTGATCCAAGCAACAAAATCCTTTAGAGCCTATTTGTAACAATGATGAATAATTTTTTTCAAAAGGAAACGGACTCGAGAAAAATTCAGGAACCATGTTACTACTGACCACCCTCAACTTTAAGAAACTGCTCGAAAATCAACCACTTTTAAAGATGGGATATGAATAATTCGACGATTTGACGTCCATTTTATGTACGAAGAATGAGTACATAGTCTACTCAATTTACAATTAAAATAGAACGAAAAGCTCCTTGCGACTGATTAGCTGTTGTATTTCATGGTATTTGATGAAAATTTGTGTGCTTCTGAAAAGAAACATCGAGAAATGTAGAGGGAACCGGGGTATCACAAAAGATAAGACATGAAGTACTAGGATCTCGGATTGCTTGATTAAAATTTGCGAGACATTTGGGGCCTTGTACAAATTTCGAAAACTGCCGATTGAAACTAGATTAATTTCTCCAATGAAAGAAAGTTATCACCTTCCCCCCTTCCTGGGGAAATTCTCAGAAAAAAATCAATCTTCCACTGTGCAAAAGTGTCGCAGATGATAAAGTAAATAAACAGATGCCCCAAATAGGCAGAACCTTCTACTCTTCGGGATAGAAGTGTTTGAGGCTGCGCGCAGGCTAGAACCTGTTCAATGTTTTTGTTGTGTCTGTGAAGGAGCAATGTCTAAAAGAAGAAGTATCGGGACACAAGTGCAAGCGAGTAAAGATTTCTGCTAATGCTTGTTTGCAAATGTTGGATCAAAGGTTTTTGCAAACTGCTCTTCAGTGAATTTTCAGTTTTTTGTGGTTTGGTGCAATCCTCAGGTAAATATGCCAGTGCCTCCACAAACAGCAGAAATAATTCGCTTTGCATTGCGCTTAAAACTTTGCTTTGAACGAATTAGGTTAAATTGTTATCGATTTAACTCTGTTAGCACAAAATTTGACCTAACTCTGAGACCTAACTCTGGAAATTACATAAAAGCACTCAGGTTTTCAGTGTGAGATACGAGAGAAAATATAGAACAAGGATATTTGAATGATAGAAATCCAGTGTTGTGTTTGCTATTTTTTTGCAAAGCAATTGCAGCTCTAAAAAACACCTTTTCTTGACTGTTCGAAAGAATTCACTGGAAGTTAAAAATGCCACACAGATCATTCTAAGTAAATCGAAAAAATGATTTTGTAATTCACTTCATTTCGATTCAATTCAATTTGTTTAAATTCATCATTTGTTAATAAAGATAGTAAAACTTTGAGTTTTTCGTGCGTGGACCGTTTAATAAAAAATGTCGGATTTCAGCTTCCATTAGGAGTGGTTTAATCCAAATCAACCTCGATTAACCAGGAGCCAGATAAAATAATTATTTCGATACCCGGCAATGTTTCCGCCTGCGGGTTTTCAAAGATCCAGTTAGCTGCTTGTGACTGAACGTTTTTCGAAGTTTCTGAATAAACGGGCTTATGTATGTTTCTGAAGTGAATTTCCGAAGTTTCTGAATAAACGGGCTTACGTCTTACGGAGTTTCTGAATAAACGGGCTTATGTTTTCAACGAAATGTCTCCAAAAAATTTAGTATGAGTTCTGATTTGGAGCCTCAATTGTGCGGCTAATGCTTTAAAGCCATGAGCTGTAGTATTTTCCGAATGGTTTATTTAAGCTTATCATGTATTTATCAAACTTTTTTGTATTGCAGGTAACAGAAGAAATGTCAGCTTTAAGACCAACTGGCAGGCCAGGTATCCATGTAGATGTGCCGGAGAAACCAACGAAGAAACGCGAAAGTGGAACAACTGGAAGTGTTTTCAAATCAGCTGAGCTTTCTAACAAAACCATCAGTGACGAGTCTCATGAAACAGCTGGCCTGGTAACTACGCCAAAGACAACCAGTGAGGTCAGGACAACATCTGCAGCCAGAATGACGTCGTCTCGTGAGTCAAGTGCACGCATGAGTTTGACTACAGCTGCACCAGAGATCCAAATAACGACCGAGGAAATTATAGAAAAAGCTGGAAAATCTACAGAAAAACCTAATATATCTAAGACTGAAGCAACTAGAATGCAAGAAACTACCGAAGACAAAGAGATTTCAATGACTGAAGCAAGCACGACAGCTAAGTCGAAAACAACATCCAATGAGAACAAGATATCAACCGGGACAACTCAAGCGGGGAAGAAAGCCAAGGAAGTTCCTACTGAACTAGCAACGAAGGAGATACATACGAAAGATCAAACTACAGAAGAAAAGAAACCAACCAATGCTACTAGCAAAGAACCTTTGGTGAAATCAGAACCGATATCTACCACTATTAGTCCAAGAAAGGCGGAAATGCTTTTGACTACTACCGTCAAACCAACATACCTCAATACTGCCAGAAGCTCGGTTAAAAGGTTTTCTAGCATCTCTTCTGGCACCATTAGAAGTGGTGCATTTATTGTCTGGGGTAAAAGGAGAAGAACTGTTCGCCCAGTTGGATACTTTGCAACAACAACACAACCATGGTCAACAACAACGAAATCTCCTACAATATCTTCCGAAGTAAAATCAACAACAGAATCTTCATTACTTGAAAAGTTATACACGCAAACAGTGGATGAAACGACAGCTGGAGCATTTAGTACAGAGCGAGCAACAACAGAGACAACGCCAATAAAACCGAGAATTGCAAATACAGCCAACTCTCAGACAGACAAAGTGGAGCTACAGACAACAGTCCAAAAGACAACTCTGCTGACAAAAGCACACGTGCAAGAGACAGAATCAGCAACAACAAAAGTGCCAACTGAGGCTTTTACTACCAAAGGATCTGTTACAGATGCTTCAAAGTCAGTGGTGGAAGACGTTGCTGCTACTGATGCAATAACTGCAAAAGCATTCGTCACAGATGCTGTTGCTACTGATGCACCTGTGACTGATCTGGTACCAACCAAAAAAGCTGTCACTGATGATGTTGACACTGATGAAGCAACTAAAAAATCAATCGTCACAGAAGCTGCTGTCACTGATGCAGTCACTACAAAAGCTGTTGCTACTGATGCACCTGTGACTGATCCAGTACCAACCAAAGAAGCTATCACTGATGGTGTTGACACTGATGAAGCAACTACAAAGTCAACCGTCACAAAAGCTGCTGTCACTGATGCAGTCACTACAAAAGCTGTTGCTACTGATGCACCTACTACTGATCCAGTACCAACCAAAGCAGCTATTACTGATGATGTTGACACTGATGAAGCAACTACAAAGTCAACCGTCACAGAAGCTGTTGTCACTGATGCAGTCACTACAAAAGCTGTTGCTACTGATGCACCTACTACTGATCCAGTACCAACCAAAGCAGCTGTCACCGATGATGTTGACACTGATGAAGCAACTACAAAATCAATGGTCACTACAAAAGTAACTGCAAAAGCAATGGTCACTACAAAAGTAACTGCAAAAGCAGTGGTCACAGATGCTGTTCCTACTGATGCACCTGTCACTGATCCAGTACCAACTAAAGCAGCTGTCACCGATGATGTCAACACTGATGAAGCATCTACAAAATCAATTGTAACAGATGCTGCTGTCACTGATGCAGTTACTACAAAAGCTGTTCCTACAAATGCACCTGTTACTGATCCAGTACCAACCAAAGAAGCTGTCACTGATGACGCTGGAACTGATGAAGCATCTACAAAAGCAATGGTCCATACAAAAGTAACTGCAAAAGCAATGGTCACTACAAAAGTTACTGCAAAAGCAGTGGTCACAGATGCTGTTCCTACTGATGCACCTGTCACTGATCCAGTACCAACTAAAGCAGCTGTCACCGATGATGTCAACACTGATGAAGCATCTACAAAATCAATTGTAACAGATGCTGCTGTCACTGATGCAGTTACTACAAAAGCTGTTGCTACAAATGCACCTGTTACTGATCCAGTACCAACCAAAGAAGCTGTCACTGATAATGCTGGTACTGATGAAGCATCTACAAAAGCAATGGTCACTACAAAAGTAACTGCGAAAGCATTCGTCACAGATGCTGTTGCTACTGATGCACCTGTTACTGATCCGGTACCAACCAAAGCAGCTATCACTGATGATGTTGACACTGATGAAGCAACTACAAAGTCAACCGTCACAGAAGCTGCTGTCACTGATGCAGTCGCTACAAAAGCTGTTGCTACTGATGCACCTGTTACTGATCCGGTACCAACCAAAGCAGCTGTCACCGATGATGCTAGCATTGATGAAGCATCTACAAAATCAATCGTCACAGAAGCTGCTGTCACTGATGCAGTCACTACAAAAGCTGTTGCTACTGATGCACCTACTACTGATCCAGCACCAACCAAAGCAGCTGTCACCGATGATGCTAGCATTGGTAAAGCAGCTACAAAAGCAATGGTCACTACAAAAGTAACTGCAAAAGCAGTGGTCACAGATGCTGTTCCTACTGATGCACCTGTCACTGATCCAGTACCAACTAAAGCAGCTGTCACCGATGATGTCAACACTGATGAAGCATCTACAAAATCAATTGTAACAGATGCTGCTGTCACTGATGCAGTCACTACAAAAGCTGTTGCTACAAATGCACCTGTTACTAATCCAGTACCAACCAAAGCAGCTGTCACCGATGATGTTGACACTGATAAAGCAACTACAAAGTCAACCGTCACAGAAGCTGCTGTCACTGATGCAGTCACTACAAAAGCTGTTGCTACTGATGCACCTGTTACTGATCCAGTACCAACCAAAGAAGCTGTCACTGATAATGCTGGTACTGATGAAGCATCTACAAAAGCAATGGTCACTACAAAAGTAACTGCAAAAGCAGTGGTTACAGATGCTGTTACTACTGATGCACCTGTTACTGATCCGGTACCAACCAAAGCAGCTATCACTGATGATGTTGATACTGATGAAGCAATTACAAAGTCAACCGTCACAGAAGCTGCTGTCACTGATGCAGTCACTACAAAAGCTGTTGCTACTGATGCACCTGTTACTGATCCGGTACCAACCAAAGCAGCTGTCACCGATGATGCTGGCATTGATGGAGCAACTACAAAGTCAACCGTCACAGAAGCTGCTGTCACTGATGCAGTCACTACAAAAGCTGTTGCTACTGATGCACCTGTTACTGATCCAGTACCAACCAAAAAATCTGTCACTGGTGATCTTGGCACTGGTGAAGCAACTACAAAATCAACAATATTTAGTAGCATTCTACCGACCGATTTCCCTGAGTATTCTACTGCAGGAGCATCCGATCTCTTGACGGAATATACAACAAAATTCTACACTGTAGTTCCAGAGCTGACTCTTAAAACTACAAGTGCAGCCAAATTAACGACGGAAGATCCTGTTTTCATTACTACACTTGCGGATGCTCTAAAAGACTCTAAAGTTTCACCAACGATTATCCCGTTAACAAAAGGCCGAACAGCTGAGCCGAAGCAAAGTACTCAAACTCGGATGCAGACCAGCATAAAATCAACAGCAGCGCCTTATAGTGACGTACCCTCTACACCAGTGTTGAGAAATACAGCTGAACCTAGAAAGCCATCAAGTGATTCGGTATCAACAGTGGTATGTGTTCACCATGCTTTGGTGGTAGAATCTAACGAAATTTTGGTTGCTTTTCCTCACGTATCATGTGATTTAATGTCTGGAGTGCTTTTAGATGCATCTTCTCAAATGTTGATAACTCAACATTAGACAATTTGATGTAAAATTTTTATTTTTTATGCAATTTTTTATGAGTTGAGATGTCATAAGATGAAATTCTCCCTAAGAAAAATTTGCCTATATTTTCACAACATGGCATCTCCCTTTTTAGATATTTTTTATATATTTCTGGCACGGTGACAATATCAGTCAACCCTTGATATACTTTCCTTTTACATTGCCCATCTCATACATATCAAAGATTCCACCTGTTTAAGTGAGCATAACCTTCAAAGTCTCTGTAGTAGCAGAGTGAAAGGTTTTGACCTGCAGGGTGCACGTGCGTTAGAATTAAAGGAGAACCACGGTTCCTATATGATGGAAAATGATTCAAGTTAACATGTTTGAAAGCTAGAGAACAGACTATTATTTCTTAAAGAAGACCTCTTATTTTCTTAAAATTTCATTGTCAATCAAAGAAGGTCAGACGGTTACCAGTTCATATTGATAAACACAACATCAACTCTTTTCTACTGAAAGTAAAATGATATTTTGGCACGTCAAATTTTTCTACTTCACACATAAAACTTGTATTGATACTTGTGATGCATGAAACTTTTTCATCTCTTCGATCAACTATTTTCTCTTTGATTTTCTCTTTTTCTTAGTTTTTTTCTGTATCATTAACAAGATATGCATTTACATGCCTTGGTTGCAGATGTTATCTCATAATCAATATCCGTTCATGTTCTCACCAAAACTATTTTTTAACAGTCTTTGCCAATGAATCGAACACTCTCTTTCTCCAAGGGCCTCAAGGGTGACCCTGGTGCTCCTGACCCTTCAAAACCTACGGAAAAAGGCTGTAGCTCTAAGGAGAAACTCGATTCCAAGGTATGTTTACTTGGTAGATTAATCTGGTGTCTAAATTAATCTTTAGGTATTTTAAAGACGTTAGAGTGACTGGAATGATTTTATTTTCCTTATTTTTGGTGCAGTTTGACTGTGTTATTTAAAGAAACTGTACTTTCTTATGTTGTGCAAACTTTTTGCCTCTCATATAAAGCTTCTTTGGTTTCCCTGTACCTTAGACTTTTAAGCAGTATTTCGAGGCTGTTTCCTTGTCTTTGTGGTATATGATTCTGACTATGCGTGAACTATGCAATGCCAACGACTGAATGATCTAAATCGCAAGTGGTAAACACATGATAAGAAATATGAGATTTTTCGAAATATTGAGTGGTTTTGGTTTTCATGCCAGTGGAATCATAAATCATCCAAAAGGATTTAGATGGCTACAATGATATCAGACTGTTTCAAGGTGTTTTTTGAATTTTTTTTATGGAGCAAGTATTATAGCTTTATTAATAACCCTCTTTTTTCTTATTCTGAATGATGGTGATTTATTGAGATCTTTAGAACAGGACTGTAAAACAGAAGTTCCAAGCCTGGAACAGCTATGTGAACACCCGAGAAAATTAAATATGTATATTAACAAAAAACTTATATATAGTACCATCACCAATGATTTTTACTTTATTCGCTCCGATTTAATTTCATTACTTTATTCCTTATTTTTTGATCATAATATTAACAGTAGTTGGCTATCCACATTCTAATTTTTAAAGGATGGTCCTTTTTCTTCTGTTCATCAAGTATTAACCTTTTTGGCCAATTATTTTGGGCCATGTTTTGAATTTGTGCCTAGAATATGAGTCCGTTAGATACACCTACTTTAGCGGAATAATTTCTTCAATACTCACGCTTTAGCGCTTTTGTGGTCACTTTTAAAATGTAACCTTTTAATCTTTGATTTGGCACTTTGACAGGACTCTGTTTCACTTTAAGGCGTCAGTTGACAAGATGACACCTTCCCCGAAGGCCTCTTTGTGTGGGAATGAAAAGGGAATGAAGGTAGGAATCTTGATTTCATTATTGGTACATTCTTGAGATAGCATGAGTCCTCTTGATGAAGCAAAACACTTCAAATATAACCAAAAGGCTTGAAAACATCTTAAGTGGAGGGATCGACATTTTGTGGAATCGAAACTGCACTTAACATGAATAAGCTGACTTCTGTTTGCAAAATTTTGATTCAGTGCACATGATTTGCTGATTCACACATTAGCTACATTGGCCAAGAGAGTAGTTTTCTTGCTAAAGCCTGATTTTAAATTTGTGAAGTATTTGTTTTGGTGTGGTACTTGGACGTAAACGGAAGATTTCTCGTTTGTCAGCAATTTCCTCTTCATTTTTGATTATGCAGCCCCAGAAATTTTTTGAGAAACTAACCCTATGATGCTTGGTGGTCTTGCATAAATCGGAGTTTTAGCATTGCCTTGATTTGAAAATGATTGTCAAATAAAAAAAGAGGAATTTCGAAGGCCCTAGGGGCTTATTCGCAGGAATTTACTTCTGTATAAAATTGCAAAATTGTCCGTCTTTTCTTTCAAATTCCTTCCATACTAATAATGGCCTTGCAATTCTGGAGTTGTTTAGTGCCTTGATTTTATATCTCGTGTATTAGTCTGTACCTAGCATTTTAGGAAGAGAGAGCATGTTAAGTATATTGCCAACTTAGGTACAGAAGTCGGTAACTTGCATGCTCTTTACCTCAGAATTTGGGGACATTTACCCCTGTTCAATACCTCTCTCTTCGATACATTGTCTATTGTAAATTCAAAATCAATCTCCTTCATGTCTTGTTTAATTAGGCCCTGACTTCTCGCTTTCATAGTATTGCATAGTACAACAGTCAGTATTTTCTTTCCTGAAAACGGTATATTTGTTGCTTGTTATTTGAACACCTAACAATTGAAACTACTCTTTCTCAAAAATAAACCCCACTTGCACAAATGACATTATTAATCCGATTAAGTCGGAATCAAATACATACTTTGTTTCTTTATTTTGGATGGATGGTTTTGTGTTGCATGAGAAATTCGATTCCAACTCGTACGCACCACAGCCAGTAGAATGTCCTCTAGCTTTCTGAGGCCTTTGGGCCATTAAAAATATTTTGATACTGGAGAATGACACGCAGACAAAATGGAATCTGATGTACTGCGATTTCGCAAAATATATTAAAGTTAATCTCATCCGGAGGTTTAGCAATGTCAGTAAGGAGCTGGTTTACTTTATATTTGTTAAAGATAAGACGCAGTTCAGCGAATGTGATCGGGAAACCAGGAGTTCAAGTCATGCTGTAAACTCATTCTCGTTTATCTGGTTAATATTGTGGGATATCGTTTTTTGGTGAACATTCATCCAGGGTCAGGTTTCACGAAGTCAAAGGCGTATTCTGCTTTTTGGCGCTTGCATTGCCAGTGGTAGACCTTTTGCTCTGTCTCCTGATGACTATCAGTCATGTATTGCTGGTTTGTCTGGCTATAGTCAGACTCGTTTTAATTAAGGTATGCGATAAGTCTTGAAATTAATTATTGTTTAACAGGACGCTAACAAAAGACGATCATCTTTGGTATTTGTTTCAGCTATTTTCACGCGTGTAAAATTTGCACTTACAGTTTCTCTTCCCTAATTCGGGCTGGTATCTTTCGATACCTTCTTTTGTTTCCAAATTCCCCGTCACATGCTTTATCATTATAAACTTCATCACGTGGTTGCACATGCTATATCACTGTATATTTTTCAGATTGACCTTTGTATATTAGATGGCACGTAATTCTTTAGGTCACCAATATTTATAATGCATATAGAAATATAAAAATATACAAAATTCTTTTTAGGGTGATACTGGGCCGAAAGGCATTATGGGATCCCCTGGACCACAGGTACGGATAAAGAAGTTTCTTTTAAATTTTGATTCATTGCTTTTTTCACTTGCTATCATTTAGCAATATGAAATATGCTATCACTTAGCACCTTGTATGCATCGATGCAAACGAGCCAAATCTTTATGTTACACTCCTACAACATCCTGCCTAAACAATGCTTCAACAGCTTAAAAGATATCTTGTCCAGGGCAACCTGGAAAAAGGGTAAAGCGCGTTTTTGAAAAAATATTAATGCTCTTTTGAGACATAATTAGCTGAATATATAATAATATAATAATAGTAAAAAATAATTTGTTTAAAGTTGGCGTACTATATGAAAGTCTAATAGCTATAAAGAAGCTAGTTAGGACCAACTATCTATTAAGAATTAGTATAAAAGGAATATATGGTACAATGTTAAAACATTTTGTGTTATGGTATTCTAAGTAAAAGTTTCAGTACTAAAGTGATGGCTTTTTTTGAGTGTAATAATATTCAAAAGCTAAACTTAGAGTCGATCAAAAATTTGCTATGAGAATTATTCAGCCTGCAATGATGGTTGACTTTCCTTCGAACCTTAGATCATATTTACATGCATCCCCCAACCTTCTTGCAAATTTACCAACCTTTTTTGAGCAAAAGTGACGTATGCAACGAACCCCACCATAAGACAGCAGACACTGTTAGTCATTGTCTTTTGTTTCGCACACTAGAAAGAAAAATCAATTTCTTAAATGAGTTTGATCATTTTCTTATCCCCACTAATCGTTATTTCTTACATTTATTTCTCTTCATCGTCATGTATGATGCAAAAGCATTTCATTGCGGGTTCCTGGGCCTTATTGTATAAGTTCCAGTCAAAATTTTCACCAAACATTGTTTCAATCGGTAGAATGCCGCCAAAAGCAGCCTTCTAAGATGGCTTATTATGGATATTAATTAAAAAGGGGCGGACGAGACTGTTCTTATCATAGCAATCATGTAACATTTGTTTAAGGCTTTGATTTTACTTGAATCTTTTCCGGGCTATCTATCACCGTTTTATTCCGATGCGAAAATCCAATTCACCTCTTTTGATCTCTTCCTTTCGGAAATTAGGGTGAAAAGGGATTTCAGGGTATGAAAGGACAGAAAGGAGAAGAAGGGCTCATGGGAAAGGCTGGGAAAATCGGATTTCCAGGAGCCAGAGGACGCAAAGGATCTAAAGGAGAAAATGTAAGTTTTGCGACTGTTTGTCCTCAAAATACAAAAAACGCCAATGGTTATAGTTTAATGCAGCAATCTCTCAACATCCCTCAAGTACAAAACATAATTGATAACGCGAGTTGAAGTCAGGCGAAAATAAATGTTTTAGTCTTGAGTTTGGTTTAATTTTTATTAAATGGATCTATTTTGAAATAAGGCCCTACATAGCTAAACGAATGTTATTTGTGACACAAATTGGGGTCTTGATCCCCAAGTTTGAAAAGGGTTTTTTTATCTCTTCTTTTCTTCATTTTAGGGCTTGCCAGGAATATATGGTAGACCTGGTGTCAAGGTAATTTATTGATGCACCAACTTTTAAAAGGTTGTTTGTCTTTGAGTATGCCAAAGCGGGTATTCAAGAGAATAAGTAGTGCTTTAGGTTTTGATAAACACATTGGGAAGATCCAAGATAAGGGTCGCTGAAAGATGGGAAGTTTTTAGCACGCCCCTCCCTGCATTTATCACCTACATTTTTGACACTGAAAACCTCAACTAGAGTCAACTTTATTCTTACTCCGGAAACCTTCTTTAACTATATATATTTATAGATAAAAAGTTCGTGCCTCAACCTTAGTTAATCATTGTTTAAAAGAATGACTGTCTCTGAATTTGATATTGACACTGAATTCGAATGACTCTCTCAAATTGTTTTATTTATTTTCTATTATTTGACAGCCTTTAATATCGATCAGTTGTTTGATAAAAGCACACATCATGCTTTATCTATGGAGTGTCAGTACAGTAAAATCAGCCTGGATTTTACGAAATGCATAGTATATATTCACTTCTTTTCTTCAGGGACCGAAAGGGGAGCAAGGAAGTAAAGGCGATAGAGGTTTTAATGGTCCCGTCGGTCCTAAGGTAAAATCTTGATAACATCACACCAGGAAACCATTTCTTAGGTATAAAAGTAGATTTTAATGAGTTGAAAATAATTTTATCGAAATTGTTTTAAGAACATTGCATAATATATCAGAAGATACCAATCTAAAAGGATTTGCAATGTAATGAAAGTGTAACTGAACTAACTGTTAATATGCCTATCTAGCCAAAGCTGCAATCCTGTTTTATTAGCCAACCTAACGGAATTCATCCTGCAGATAAGGAATTTGATATTTTGAAGAGCATCTTTATGTTTGTTGCAAAGTTCTGAAAAATAAAATTCGCCACAAATTTGTCTTCGAATACATTGTATAGTTTTAAATTGCGAATGTTGGCATTTCGACAATTGAATTGAATTACAAGAAGCAGAATTTTCGATTTGGTGGTAGTGCTGCATAATTTTGACGTCACAAAATATTTCTAATGACCTCGCCCTAGTCATCAGAACTCTTCGTATTAGTCCGGCTTTTTGTCGGAAAGTGGCAACTGTTTAACCTTGTAACTTAATTAATAATTGGAACTTCGCAACAATAACTGTTAAAAAAACGATCTTACATCTTTTAAGTCATTAAAATATTTACAATCTTTGGCTGGAGATGCCCTTCAAAAAATGCGGAATTTTTTAGGGAGAACAAGGAGATCCTGGGTTTCATGGGCCAATGGTAAGTACATTTTTTATTTAGTTTGTTTTTTCCTCTTTCAAGTCTGTTTTGCTCCTTATATTTGTTTGTTTGTCATGTTTGTATATAGATTCAAAGTGCTTGAAAGTTTTTTTTGATCAACAAACTTTTTATTTTACTAGATCTATTCATTTGTTCAAAAACTTAATAAGGAAACTCAACGTTTAGATTATTTCAGACACCGTCTTTCTCAGTGAGTAGCAAGAATTTGATTCTGTTACCGTAAAGAGATTTTCTGTAAGATATTTGCTTTTTCTGAATTTCAGGGGCCTTCTGGCAAAAAAGGAGATCGTGTTTCGAAACGGGAACTCGAAGCTGCAATTATTGATGTGAGTGCAGTTTAAGTAATTTCTGAACAGAAGTTCATTGTTAGGGAATAGTTACGCGTGTGGTATGCTACACAGCTTCATAATTATTGTTTGTCTATTAGTTTGCCTGTGTGTTAGATTACCAGCTTGAAAAGCATTCTCGCTGATGTACCAATATGAATCTCTTTGTGAGTTGAAGGACTTATATTTAAAGTTTGTCCTTTTTTGGTAGGTACTGTCAAACCAAGTAGAAGGATGCTCAAAAATCGAAGAGTTTGATATCCCTAAGGAGACCGGTGTAAAGTCTTTTCACCTTGATGTGAGAATTTTTCCTATAATTATGTATATATAGAAGTTTTTTAAATACTCATTTATTGCTTTTGTTAATCATAAGATTCACTATTATTTGAGTCCTATTATTCTAAGTTCGAGTCCAACTTTGGTTTGAGTCATGCCCTGGCTCCAGTCCAGACCTGGTTTGCGTCCTGCCCTGGTTTCAGTACTACCCTGGTTCCACTACTACCCTGGTTCGAGTCCTAACCTGGTTCGAGTCTGGTCATGGTTCGCGTCCTGCCCTGGTTCGAGTCCTAACCTGGACCCAAGCCTGCCTTGGTTCGATTCCTGCCCTGGTTGCGTCTTTTATAACTATAAAATATAAAAAATCTTCTATCCACTCAAGGCTGTAAAATTGCATGCTCGCTTATCTGGTTAACATTGTTTTATATCGTTATTTAATGAACATTCATCAATCAGGTATCATGAACTCGAAGGCATTCGCACATTTTTGGCACTTTCATTGCCAGTTGCGGACACTGCTCTGTTGCCTGATGCCTTCCAGGCTTGTTTATCAACATTGCGCCTGCTCAGTCGCATGATTTTCTGTATAGAGGTTTCTTTGTTTGTTAATTATGTGTCTTTAACTCCTACTTCTTTTACACCATCAAAACCCATTGTGGTTATCTTGATTTGCTTCATCCTTTTCTTATCGGTGATAAATTCCATACCTGCTTTTCACACACTGACAAATCTTATTTCAGCTGGGATCAGGACCTCCAGGTCTTCTATGGGTGAGTTATTTTAAACTGCATTTTGTATCAGGCCGAGTAGTGAGAAATCGCCTTTTATTTATTGGGAGTTTCGGTTTTCTCAGTTTTTGCAGCGACAACGACGGTTGTCCAAAAAACATATATAACATCAATAAATTCATCGAGACAAAAAGATTTGCAAGAATACTTACGTTTCAATTATTGATTAACTTTCATTCCTATTATTTACAACAGTTCAGATTCTAAACTTTAATCTACGATTTTTATATATCGCGCCTTAGTTATATTAGTTAAAAGCCTTTTTGTTAGGTGCATTTTTTCTTTCCTTTTCATTGATAAAAAGAAGATTATTTATTGTGTTTTAGGCGAATGCCAAAACAAGGCCTAGAAAGGTAAAGGAAATTTCACTGTTTTTCTTCCTGCACAAGATTGTTTGGCTTGAAAGAATTTTCTTGACAAATGAGAATAAATTTCTATATAGTAAAGAATCTCACTTAAAATTGCACCTGTGGCGTAGTGGATAACACGGCTGCTTCTCGCCATAGTTGATAGACACAAACAGACTCGAGCCTCACTGTGGGCTAACATAAGCAACATGAAAACCGGAAAGGCCTAGGTCCCTTGAAACAAAACTATTGTTTGTCTTGGTATCGGTTTGTCTACTGCAGGGGTCGGCAACCTTTATAAAACAGGGGGCCAAATTTGAGTTTTGAAATGCATACGAGGGCCGCAACTCAAAATACAGTATAATTTTAATAACCTTACTACTAATCTAATCAATAAAAATGTGTCTATCGGAAAATGTACTGTAACGTGGAAGCTGTACGTAAATACAAACATAGATGTAAAGTACATGTTCACTGTTCAGTGTATTACAAGAAGCTAATGGGCAACTTGGTGTTGCACGTCCTTGGCCAACTTCTCAATATTTGGCAGAATTGTTGATGTTGGCAGCCGCAAGTTGCCTTCAAGGTGCTGATCAGTCATGCGAGATCGCAGCCGACTCTTCGCATGCTTCATCTTTGAGAAGAGACTTTCGCAAAGGAGAGAAGTACTTCCAAACATGCAACACATCTTCTTGGCATGCTGCACCAGACCTTGATATGAACCATCATCCACCATGGAGATACTCCATATAAAACGGGATTATCTGAGTTTCCTTCTATTTCTGTTTCAATTCACTGGTACCCTGCAGCTCGATCAACTTCATTTGAAGATGGAAAGTGAACCAAGTTCCATTGATTCAGCTGAGTTTTCCAAAGATGTAGCATAAGCAGGAACATGACATGTTCATACATGACATTCACAAAATGACAATGGCCTTGAAGCTTCTTCTTCTGCTTGTTCGAGTGACTAGTAATGTTAACGAGGAATGCTAATCTAGGCAAGAATCTAAGATCACTGAATCAATATCGAGCTGACACTCGTGCATTGGGCCACATTATTTACAGGTTAACAGGGGCCTTCCGGGCCACACAAAAGTACCTTCCGGGCCGCATCTGGCCCGCGGGCCGCGGGTTGCCGACCCCTGGTCTACTGGTTTGCCCATGTTTATATTTAATGACAATAGAGTCAGCCGGCTCCTCAAGTTTGGTGGTTGTGCGTTGGTGGTGTGAACTCAATATTGCAAATTGATGACGTAATAAAAACCTATCATTAGAACTAGAACCTACCAAAACATCACGAAATACATCTCCGTGTGCAAAATCAGTTTGATCTGTTAAAGATTGGCTGAGACATGACCACATGAGCCCAGGATCTTTCCCTATCAAGCCACTGTTATTTGGCCCTTGTTGTAACCAGACCAGAACAACAGATATTCATTAGCAAATCCTGGGTCGTTAACTGACCATATCTCAGAAAATCTGTGATATGTTTAATTTATTTTGCACATCTGTAAGTATTCAACCATCGACTTTTCTATTATGTCACTTCACCACTCTGCTATTCGCATACAAGATATAGCCAGTTTGTGCATTCAGATTTCGTTAGAAGCACTTCTGTGCCGATAAATCAACGATGAAGTGAACTCGCGTTATAAACTATTTTTGTATTGCCACTCTCGGTCTGATTTCGTAAAGCACTTTTGCTGTAACCGGCTAAAAGTGTCTATTCTGTTTTGAGCATATTCTATACATTTCTCTCCGCGTTGAACCTTTTGTTCAGTCTTATCTTATGGAGAGAATTGAAATGTCATAAGATAGACAAATATGTAGCTAGATGGCTGCATTTTTCGCCTACTTTTTGCCTGCATACGCTTATTAATCGTCATTTCACTAACATTACTGTTAAATGTTTTCAGGTTCGCCGCGGACCACCAGGTATATATCCGGTAAGTCTTAAATTTACTGACCTTTTGCACCCTAACGGTATTTGGAGCCAAATCTTTTTCATTAAATACCATGATACTAGATTTAGCGCAGACAAATTTTCCCGAATCTCATGAGAACACAGTTTCTCTTAACTCTACATATTTCTCTCTCTTTCCCCCTCAGTTCGGAAGGTATGGTAGATTGTTGACAATGTGATGTAGGACCTTATTTATCTAAATCTTAAAGTGCCTTTTTAACTAGATTTTCAGCATAGCGGTATCAAGCTTTTTAAGAAATGTTGAAGAAGAAGTCTTTCACTGCGTTTTAAAATTCAGTTAACAGAAGGGTCCTATCCAGTTGCTGAAAACAAATCTGCTAATTGCCTCAATCATTTCAAAAGTTTCTGAGTTGAATTATTAATCTTCATTGTAGGATGCTATTGAATCAAAGGGAAAGCTACGAAAATTGGTTGTGTGTGGGCAGAATGCTACCAGAGTCAAATATAACTATGATAGATACCCACTCAATGGGGTGAAAGGCGACAAAGGTGCCAAGGGAATGACAGGCAATACTGGTTTTGAAGGTCCAATTGGTCCCGCCGGAAGACGAGGTGAAACGGGAGCGAAAGGCCAGAAAGGTGATGTTGGTAATCAAGGGCAGAAAGGAGAGCCAGGTCAAAGTATAAAAGTAAGAAGATCGCAGCGATTATCACACTAGTATCGGCTCTGACACGTTTTTTGATGTTTTTGATAAATTGTTCTATCTATCTAACTATGATATTTGTTACTTAAGGCCTTTTTTTGTTCTATTTATCTAGGTATGATATTTATTTCTTTTGATTAACTTGTTAAATTTCCTCGAAATTAACTTGTTAAATTTTGTTACAGGGACAACACGGTTTAATTGGCTTGCCTGGCCTCACGGTAAGTTTAGTGCAAATTAATTTTCTCAATGGCTAAATTGCAGAACTCTGCCCTATCGGGTATCCATTCTAAGTTAATATAGTTAAGTTAGCTAAATAAGCTGGTTACATTAAGTTAGATTATATTGAGTTAATTAGCTTAAGTTATGCTTTGTGCCAAGCTTTGCTTTGTAAGTGATGTTAGTCAGGTTAAGGTAAGTTTTATTAAGCGAGGATAAGCTGTACAATTCACGTTGTCAAATCATTTGAGTTAGTGAGTTAACGTTAAAATAGGTAGACTAATTTTGTCAAGTCATATTTTGCTAGTTGAGTTAGCTGAGTTAAGCAGGTTTATGTTAATCTGGTTAAGTTAATTACATCAGCTGATGTTTAGTCAATTTTTGTTAAACTAGTAAAGTTAGTGAAGTTGAATTCAGGGAAATCAATTTATGTCCTATGATTTAAGCTAGGATAAGCTAAGCTTGTTATGTTGTGAATTTCGTGAAGTCGGTTAAAAAAGGTAAGTGTGTTAAATTCAGGTCTGGTAAGCTATGTTACACCAGCTATTATTAATGCTATGTTTTCTTTACTCTTCTCTGCAAAAAGCCCAAGCTAGAAAACTCAATACTTTTCTTAAGTCGTGTGTATCATTGTATTATTACAGAGCACATTTTGACAGCCTTGATGTACAAAAAAATGAACTGCAAATTTGATTGCAAATAGTTAAGTCAAGCTATAGCGTTAGGTTAATGAAAGTTGAGTCGAGTCAAGTCTAACTAAGTACAGTCAACTCTGTGCAGTTCGAACTCACTGGGTGATTGTCAAAATGTTTGAATTAAAAAATGTCCGATTGATACGAGTTTTCAAAAATCCAGGACTTTGCCTCATTTATCATTACATTAGCTATATACAACATTTGTCCATTTAATTGCAACTTGCAAAGCAATTGTAAATAAAGAAAAAGCTTCTTTTGTCAACCTATTTGGTCTTTTAGTAAGAATGCCGTTGGTCTTTCCGAGCTCAGCATGGGGCGGGCCAAGATTCCTTGAACTTGGCCTTTTCATTCCCCAAACACATATTCAAGGAAGTGACTTAAATAACAGCCAACAGTAACAATAATATAAAATTTTCAGCGCGTTTAATGAAATGAAGCAGTTGTATTGCCAGCTTATTCAAACTAGAATGGTTATTTTCCATAGAGGACCGACAAAATTGGTCGAATTAAGAAAAACTACAGAGATACGGTGGTTTTTTGTAAGGGTTGTTAGGGGACTTTCAAGGGAGCTGAGAATTTTGTTCGAATTAGTTATAGTTCGCATTACACATAAAGGCAGATTCGAATATAACTCCTGCAGTTTTTTTGTGTGATGCCATTCAAGGCTGAAATTCTCAGTATTCAGACATGTTTTTGTTCTCTATTTTATTTACATTTGTTGCTTCGAACGCTAATTTCTATATTGACTTGCTTATATTGAGAAGCAACTGACTGTTTCTTTTGTTCCATACAAGGGCTTGAAGGGTCAGCGGGGACCTTCAGGAGTTCCAGGAAAACCTGGTAACCCAGGCCTGCCTGGCATCGACGGTGCGCGCGGTAGGGCGGGAGAGAAGGGTGCCGAGGGATCTAGAGGCCAAAAGGGAGAGAAGGGAAACACTGGGCCACGTGGTCCTGCCGGAAACGATGGTGTAAAAGGGAGCACTGGTGCCGGGCTCAAAGGGCCAATTGGCCCAAAAGGACTCAAAGGAGACACGGTGAGGATCCTTTAGATGCAGTATTTATGCTTCCACTTCTATTTGCTGTATAACTGTTAACTTCCAGTATAAACCCATCTTCTTGATTAAATATATAAGACAAATGTTTTTACCTCAGGGTATTCCTGGCCCTCGGGGTTTTGGTGGCACAAAAGGAGAAAGCGGACAAAGAGGAGCCAAGGTAGGAACACGTCATTTCTTTCCTTAGTTAATTTTGCTGCATTGTTATGAAGACTTGAGCAAACCTTTTTTTATGTTTGTGGCATGTTACCATAAATTAAAGGCTATTTTATCCTATAGATAAGGGGTCACATTATTAATTTCACATCTTCATGCAAGGATAAACCCTTTCAATGATGTTTGTTTTGTATTTAAATATATTTATGAGGGTATATGATTATATTTTTGAATTAAGAGACCCTACATTTTGAATATTCAGACAAATCCTTGAGCATTTTTTAACTATAACTTTAATTTCTCCCGCGCTGTATTTGTCTCCTTAAATGCTTATGGTCATGTTGAAATCTCCATTCAAGAATAACTAGATTCCTCTTTTTAAAAACATAAGATCCAGGTAGACAGAAGTCGCTTTCTTTCCGCTGAGTTATGCGATTTACAATATTGGCTTTGTAAGAAATAGGAATGCAATAAGGCTCTGTGCCGCAAATTTATTCAATTTCCTTTAAAAGCACTTTCTATCATGTTTTTTTAAAGATATTTATATATATATATTTATTTATGTTGCAAACTTTACCACTACGCTGTGTAGAAATCATTGTCCCCATCCCCGAGAAAACACCAATTATCATATCTCGACAAAATCTTCCCAAACTCAAAATATTTTAAAAATTTTATATCCGTGCTTATAGGGAGATAATGGAAAAACAGGCTTGCCGGGACCAGTTGGACCACAAGGGCCAAAGGTTAGTATGAACTTCTGGTATGAAGATGTCTGTGTTCTGCATTTCCGGAGATCAATGTGAATTTCATGTTTTCTTCAGATAGAACAGTAAAAGCAATAAGTATCTAGCTAAATGTTGTTTTGAGGACAGAATTTATCGAACAATACCGCTTTAAACATTTTTCATTTTTAAAGAAGGTCCTTGTCGTGAATCACTCCAACATTTTGTATTTTCAGGTTGTTTTTCATTTTTTAGAATATTTGTACAGTTTTATTATGTATGACCAATTTTGATTGGTTTACTTTTTCAGGGTTTGAAAGGAAGTCATGGAATTTTGGGACCTCAAGGATTAAAGGTAATAAATGATGTTGTTTTCACACGAAAAATAAGACGTCACCAATTTAAGCAGGATATACCATATGCTCATTTTCAAAACAAAGTATAAGGAAAAAGTCAGCCTTTTTCTAAAACGTATTCAAGCTTCTACCACCATGCTTTTTAAAGCTGGAAATTGGCGTAATTTGTTTTAATTGCAAGAAATCTTAATGGCCTGAAGTTAGCGGTGAATAGTTTTTGTCACTCGGTATTTATATATAAATATTTATTGATAATCATGATTTGTGATTCAGTTGTGATTGTATTTTATAATGCAAGGCTTTCCTATTTGAAAACTGGAGATAACCGCTTTCGTCAAAATTTTGTTCAATTCCTTCTTGATATAACAAATCGTTTATTTTCCCTTAAGGGTGAACCAGGCACTCCTGGCAAGGTGACGTTCTTAAAAGGTGTCATTGGACCAAGGGGACCTAAGGGGCCAAGTGGTCCAATAGGTCCTGTTGGACCTCCCGGCCCTCCTGGACCACCGGGACCAATGCCATCGCTCTTACCGGTATGTACGCCAATTATCTTTTAATGGCGTTGGATATTTTTAAGTTTATCATTCTATGAAAATATGTATATTTTACGTTTTGTGGTGTGACCTGAAATAATTATGAGTAATCATTCAAACTTTCTGTGTAAAGAATTGGCCAACACGTCATCTTTGCTTTCAGTCTAATTTGCCCATACTCCCCCATGCTCCCTTTTCAAAATCAAGGGAAAGTGCACTGAAATGCTGTCTCGCATGACTTCGATGACTTCCTTATTTTGATCTGTTATTAAGAAAATTCTGAATAAATATATTTTTAGAAATTTTACAGGAACTGTATTGACAAGAACCTAGGTTATGGAAGTTCTTTCAGAGCATACTTAGCGTATTATTTTACACCAATGAAAATACTTAAGTATTACAGCTTACTTGTGCTCAAACATCTTTCTTTTTACCGCTTTAGATGAAAGCAATGATGGGCCCAAAAGGACCACAGGGTCTCAAAGGAAATCGTGGTGCTGATGGACAAAGCATCAGAGGAGAAAAAGGTTCCCCTGGAAGCAAGGGGGAGAAGGGAGAGGTATCGATGGTGTCGATGCCACCCCCTATTAAAGGTGCAAGAGGAAGCAAAGGAGACCAAGGATTTAAGGGCAGCAAAGGAAGTTCAGGTTCCCCAGGACAACCAGGCAAAGATAGAGTCGCAGTGAGTGTTTTGTATTTTGATGCCCTGTGTATTGATATAGAGGCAAGGCCATTTAGCATGTGTGTTTTCAAGCGCACGCGAAGCCCACTATCTGGTTATACTGACCATGGATATCCCCCTTCAGTTTAAATATCCGTTCTGCTTTCTTTTGTTAGATGAGCGAATCTTGGGTACTTTTGTACGCATTTCGTATGGTGATTTACCCAAGCTTGTACCCACAAATCTATGTTTTTTATCAGATTCTACGTCTAAACATCTTTCTTTCAGGTTGTCACATTAGCAAGTGAACAAGATATGTTTTCAATGTTTGATTTATTCGAAGTTGGTCAGATGGCAATACTTGCTACTTCTGATGATATTTACATTCGTACAAGAAGCAAATGGAGATTGGTAAGTCATATTAATTATTAGTTTTCATGGTTAGCAGAGATCCTCATAAATTTACATTTTTTGTATGTCGTTATTGAATAAAACATTTATATATATATAAATATAATAAATATTGACAGTTTTATCTCTGACATTTAATAAGACGAATTCTTTAGATATGAGAGATTGACAGCTTTTCTATATACATAGACAACAATTTGATTCGAAACTTGGCTTAAAGAGATGCCTTAAGATCGTTTTCAGAATTGAGTCACTTCATAATGTGGAAAAACGATTCTGCCATTGATGCGTTGACTTTACTTCTTGTCTGTTTTCAGATCACAGGAACGGTACTCAGTGGTCCATCTGCTAGCATTCGATTTGAGAAGGCTGAGATTGAGCCTCAAACAACAACAGCCCCTACAGTGGTACGAAAAGCTTTGAAACGCCAAATACAGAAATTACTCTATAGTATTTATATTTTACTGAAGCAAAAATTACTGTTTGCCGGTCTGTAATAAAGTGCTCAATGCCGTATAGGCAGAGCTGTACACGCTTTTCGGTGTATAGAACAGGATGGTTTTAAGTTGCTACTCCGTGTCTCACGCTTCAGGCAACTGTAAGTGTCAGGCTTAATTCGATCATGAGGCACTTGTGCATAAGAAGCAAATAACAGCGAATAATAATAGTATTATTTCTTCAATCAAAGAATCATTGTTTATTCCACTGGCCCTATAGAAAATGTCTCCCTGTCCCCTTGTACCCTTTCATTCTTTTCATATTTCCTTCTTTTCAGACCACACCAACAATTGTCAACAACATTATGCTTCCGGTACCCGGGAAGTTCCCAAAGAAACCTTACGTGAGTCACAGATACACCTTTGTTGAAATCTCCATTAAAAAGATTCTTTTTTAATAAGCAATAGTGACTTGATCTTTGAAAGTCCTTGAAATAATCAACAGTAAAACAGATAAATCATACCGTTGATCCATGATTATTCTGATGGATGTTTGGTTAATCTTTGAACTTTTTTAATGTGTATCTTTTCGATAGAAAGGCTTTTATCGAAGAGGGTTATTTATTAAAATTGCAAGCTCGTATCATGGGATAACATTTGTTTCCATTCTTTATCCATATTTATCCATATCTTTAATTTGAAGGGGCAATTTATTCGAGGGAAGGTAACTCATAATTTCAATTCAGGCACGTATTCCTTGCCGATGGCACGTAATAGGGGATTTACTATTCGCTTCTCACACAATTCTGCTAGGTGTCAATCTTCTGTGCCAGCTACATTTTCTTGTAAAACATTACAAGTGCCACTGAAATTTGTTGTTTGGTTAGGAAGATCTTTGAATGATTGAGAAACTTAATAAAGCATCTTTCCTCATTTTGCAGCTAAGACTGGTTGCTCTTAATCAGCCTGTTAATGGCGACATTGGAGGTGTTTCTGGTGGAGACTACCGTTGCTACGAGCAGTCGTTTAAATCCGGGGCAAAAGGAGTTTATCGTGCATTCCTTTCCGATAAGATGCAGAATGTCAAGAATCTTATTCCTAAAAAGTATTTCCACTTACCGGTTGTAAATTTGAAGGTAAATTTTTGAGTTCCTTATCTATCTATCTATGGTTCCTATATGTCGCTTAAAGATTTTGTCCTTCCCGGGTATCTCTAAGACCTATTTTCTGTATTGATCTTACATGCTCTCCGTTTATTTTTACCAGGGAATGCAAATATTTTCTTCATGGAGCGACCCCTTCAACTCTTCAACGTATGCTGCTTTTAATCCAACCATTCCAATCTACACTTTCGATGGCAGAGACATTAGGACTGACACCACTTGGTAAGAAGAGAGGTCCAATTTTTGCCTGATTCTTTAAATTATACCTTAAATTTTGAATTTCGCAATCATTCCCTGTTCTCAGGCACAAAATGGAGGGAAAACACAGAAAATTTTCCTCGGTCTCGACTTAGATTGGTCTTTTATGCGATTACAGCTACTTTCGAGATGGACAAATGCAAGGTTTTGATATTATATATAAAGACTTCTATGCTTTTATATCACATTTATATCACATGTGATTAATTTCACATTAATCACATTAAAGGACTTTTCCCGAGAAAATGTATAAGTATTTTACACACATACAGGCACACACATACTGACATGACTATAGTTGTGGGGACTATGACTTTGCGTATACCTTGTGGGGACCTCTTAATATGGTAAATATATAGACAATGGAAAGCAACAGGCTCTGGATGATGGGACGAAATTAACGGCATATACACACAATATTCGCCGTTGAAATAGTGTCGGATAACGAGGGGGTATTAAATTTAAATGTTTTTTCAAATATCACTTTTTCCTTGACAGCTTAAATTCTTGCAAAATAAATGTAATCTTGGTAATTTCTTAAGTGTTTTTTGCAACAGGAATTGTCCTGCGAGCTGCCATTGATCCTGCAGTTTTGTCTCACTATCATTTGGGTATATTTTAATTTTTGCTGTTAGTCGCAATGACAGTTTTTTGCAATCTTGAAATTAAGTATCGTTATAAAACCTGAACCAGCTTTTCTTGGATGCCAAAGTCATATCTTTTATTTTATGCAGGAAAACTAAAGCGATTTGGCATGGCTCACACGCTGATGGTGTGACACATTCTAGCTCCCATCACTGTCGCAGCTGGTGGCGATCAAAACCGTATCTAAAAGGCATTGGTTCGTCCATATCCAGTTACATGCCAGCAATGAACGAAGAACAATTTTCATGTGATTTAAAGCTTGCTTTGTTATGCATACAGATTCAGCCAGAAAGGAGGTAACACCACAGCTGATTAATCCATGTTTCAATTAAAGAAAGTCCAATATTAGATGTACGGAATGTAATACGGGGATCCAGTTCCTTATCTGCGAGATATCGTTCTTATCTTTGGAGATCTTGTAATGAATCCTGCAAGTGACGCATGCCTTATCATCATAGTTCGATAGCTACTACGTCACCACTCGTTATGTCTGCCCTGTATTCGTAGGCATACACAAAATAACTCAATTAGAATAGACCATATTTTCAATTATAAAACTGGTTTTCCTGGTATTTTGAATAAGTAGAAATATATTGAAACTCAACAATGCTTTTTCTCGATTCGCAACATTCGAAAAAGCACATTTTCTCAATTTGCGATGTCGCTAACAATATGATATATGTGAAGAAAGTTCAATAGTATATTTGTTTGGTATTACCAGAGAGACTATCATTGCTAAATTTGCATGGCAGTCGAGGCACTTCCTTTGGTATATCCCATCAGCTCAAAAGGTTGGTGCAAAGTGATTGGACAAAGATTGTAATTATCGCATCCCTATAACATTATTTATATAGATAAATATATATTGTTTTGAGACTCCTTAGCGAGATATCCTCGACAGGAGATATATTTGAGTAAGAGCTAGGTTTTGTAAATTCTGGACCTTGATAACACAGTAAGTGAATTTCCTTTCCATTATGTACATGGCGAAGGCAGAAGTGATAAAGCGCCTCGATTGAGAAAAGTTATATAGTTCTCTGATCTATTGCAAATGTTTTGATAGCTGTAGAGGGTAAGGAAAAGCGTGATAATTTTCATGATAAAAAATATGAAAGTTCAAACGCTCTTTGGGCTATTTTTGACAGCTATGAAGAAATTCCATATAAATTTTAAAATATATCAAAAAACAGAATGGTTACGTTGAAATACATCACCCATAACAAGCTCGTCTTTCTGAGAATTTTGTATCTAGAGAATAGGCTTAAATATTCAATTGTGAACGTCATTTAAGATTCTTTTCGAATCCCAGTTTTCTATTACAGATTTATATGTAACAATTTTCGATAATTTTGAAAAGATTTTTATTTGGAAAACTTGTCGTGTTGAAAGCCGTTTTTGCTTGTTTTTTTACAACTTGTGTTAAGCTGTTTGTTTTGAGTTTATTCCTTGTTCTTATATTTATGAGGGTCTCGATAGGTTTGGTTTATTGCCAAGTTAGGTAAGAAATTGATAATACTAAAAATCAAGCGATTTGAAGAATGTTTACATAATCACTTTCAAATTACGTAACCTTGTGGAGTACAGGTCACATTTCGTTGGATTAATGAAGACTGGCTGGCTAACTACTTACTTTTTAAGGTACTAATTTATCATTCGATTTAGAAACGCAATGATAGGAATATTTTATGGTTTCGACTGCATCCTTGGAAGCTTTTGTGAGTATATTATGAGAAGATCTTTAGAGATGCGATGAATTTACGAAATTCTTTGTTAGACACAGAGTACCTCCCTCCAAGTTTATCAGAACACTTCGTAGAATGGTTCAAAACTTAAAACTCATTAAGGATAATGTCTAATTTACTGTCTTATATTGCCATAAAACAAATTCGTGTTTTCAGTTCAAATTGATACAACAAAACACTTGGCGTTAGACACCAATCGATTCTTGTAAATATAAGAACTGTGTGTCAGTATTTTTTTGTTTATATTGACAAAAAATCATTTTGTTTTGGTAGAAATTAGTTAAATTATTCCCGAATCTCTTGTTTATGTTTATATGTCGATTTTTTAAAGTTTATTGTATTTTGCAATTTGTTTTATTTATCTACCATTTATTGGAAACAATTTGTCATTTTGATATTCTATGAAACAGAAAATATGTTTCTTTTGTGTCTATTGCTTTATGAAAGATAGATTTAGATCGTTGCTTGTTTTTTCCAACTTCCAGTAAGTCAGTTATCCATATTCTTTATATCTATGCCTTCCCTATCCTTGGTGTGACAAACCTCATCATCTGTAACCTGGTAGAAAATTTCGACTTTGTTGAATTAACTGTTAGGTCACTAGATGAATGGAAGCATAGGTCACTGGAAAAGGAAATACAAAAATTATAATGGTTCGGCGTTTATCGAATTTAACAACCTTAAATTTGCTAGGGTAAATTACAACGGATCAGTTAAATTTTTGTTAGTATTAATAACAGGCGTTGAACATTGTGCACCAGTGGCGGTTTTAAGGGGTCTAGGAAGCCATTGCCCCAGGCCCTGAGCTTATGGTTGCCAAAATGGGGCCCCGCACCTAAGAAAAGACATAAATTGAAAAGAACAAAGACCCCGCAGATGTTTTGGCCCCGGGCCCCGCAGTCCCTAAAACTGCCAATGCTGTGCACCCTCCTTCGATGGTAAAGGGCATTTTAGCAAGTCCTTTTGGATTTGCGATTCATTAACCCCCTTCTGGTATTCCAATAATCTCTATGTAACTCCCCGAAGTGACCTCATCGGAGGCGTGACGTGATACACCAGAATGCTTTGCGATTTCTCGGTAGAAACGGCCTAGTTAAGGCGTGTTTGGAAAACCTACTTCCAGAGCCGGGCTGATTCATTACTACTCGCACGGAAACTGTTGGCATGAATTCGTTTAGAGGAAAAGTAGCTCTTTGTATCACTGTTACTGCATTTGCAGGGATTGGAGCTTACCACCTATGGATATCCCGCAAGAAGAGAGCTAAAGCGAAGAAGACGGACGACGCGGCGGACCTGGTAACAATATTCATTTCACGTTCTATAAATATTTATTTGAAAGATAAATTTCCTTTGTGGAAGATTCATGCTAAATGAGTATACTAAGATTTGCAGGTAAAGTATGTGGAATAACGTAGTCGTTTTGTTTGTCCCAGTCCCTGTATAACAGTCGACAAAGAATATCCTTAATCCTTTAGAATAATGAGCCGGTTATCAGGCTAGAGCTTAGGGCATGGTCGTAAATTTTTTTGCTCATCTCGTTTGCAAGGGCCTAGTCTTTGAGTTTTGCCCCAGGGCCTCCAAAACATATCGGCAACCCTGTGCATGAAACTCTTCTACTTTTTATCTTTAGCAGGAGAGATTTCTATCTGCAAAGAGAGAATCACGGGATGAATGAGGTGGCTTCCAAAAAAACTTTCTAACCACACCCTCTAATAGGTGGGGAGGCCTTAAGCAATCCTTTAAATTAACTATAACTATGTAACTAAAACTATAACTGTGCTAAAGGCTAAAAGCCTGTCACAGATCTTTGGAGTGACTTCAACCTGGACAGACCATTATACTGACAGACCACTCATGTCAAGCCAAACTCTAAATAATAACAAGTGTAACACCCAACTGATAGATAATGGATGTCAGAAAATAGTTTGTCCTGGCAAAAGCCACACCAAAGTCATCGTATTTTTGCAAAAAATATAATGTTGTTGTCTTAATCTAAACTATTAAAAGAATGTCTTCTTTACAAACAGAATTTATAAACTTAAATAACATAGAAAATTTGCTCAAAAAAATAACGGGATAAAGATAGAAAAATAATTGAAAACAAAAATGTCTCTTTAGAGCTTTCATAATACTGTTTCAACTTAGCAGAAAAAATCTAATTTATAATAAAACTGCTCTCTTCATTGGATATGCTTTGACAAAAATGTGGTTGCTAAAACAACCAACCAGGTTGCTTTTTATCTACCTCATATCCCTGCAGCTTTGTTGCTTGCATGAGTAAAACTTAGCAACTTAAAATTGCTCACAGCAGGCTGGGCCATTTTAGGCAGGCATCTGCCTGCATGTAATTCAGCGCCCCCTAAATTATTTGATAAGTATGTTTATTCACCCAACCCCCACTCCACCAATTTTTATGTTAACAGCCTGCTTTAGTTTTCATTGAGATTTGCTGGTTTGATGAAGCTAGAGAAAATATCATGCCTTCATGTCTTTTTTAATACTACCTCACAAACAGAGCAAATGTACTTCAACTAACACGATTAAATTAAATAAAAAGTCAGAGACTCAACCAACTTGATAGCAAGAAAGAAAATGTTCTGGAAGACAAACAAGGAAATTATCCGTTTTCCAATATGGACTAAACAAAAAAGTGATTAGCACACTGATGTGTAGAAGGGAGGCACCCCCCCCCCCTAGCAAAGGAATATGTCCTTAAATGGTACCATTATTCAATTTACAAGACCAGATCAGTTGATGTTTCTTTGTATATGTATACCTTCAAAAAACTGATAATTATTTTTAAAGAGGGATGTCTTATACGAAGCCAAATACGGTACTGATCATGTGTGACTGGTAGATTTTTAACCTCTTCTGTTTATTATATATTGTTGTACTAACAAACTTAACTAACAAAGTTGACAGGGGTCTTATTATTGCCTTAATTATGCAATCAAGCTTATGAAAAATATGTCATTCAAAGCCTGCAACTTAAAATCATTAGAATAGAGAATTATGTTTAGTTTCAATAATTCTTCAGTTGCTCAAGCAAAGAGCCAAACTTTTTCAGAAATACATGGTACTCCTCATGAGCACACAGTTTAGGTAAACAGCTTTTTCCATTTCAGCTGACGTGCAATGTATACAAAGTTATTTTTTTCACTTCAAATTTTATCATTGTGCACTTTTGTTAATGATATTGCAAAATATACAAATCAATACACTATTGAAAGATTTAAAAGCCAGCATCAATTTGTAGTGCAAAATTTCCTACTTTTAGCTGACCAATTTAAGGTTTTGGAATGAAAATCTCTTTTTAGACACCTTTTGTACTCCTGAAAATTACTCAGATCTTTATGCTATGGTTCGTTAGCAAAAGCATTGAACTGGTTGGCAAACAGGACAGAGCAACAACAAAATTCAAACTGATTTGTGAAAACATTGTGACAATTTTTTTTGGATAGTCTCATTTAGAATGTTAGAATGAATGTTAAAATACACCAATATTTAGTTTATTGTCTGTTATTAGCATCCATTCTTTTCTAGCCTATGATCACTTTGTTGCAATTTCATACAAGATAAAATAATGAGTGAGTTGTATGGAAAATTCTTAGGATTTTTATTAAAAAATCATTGGATTATCCTAAAACACCTTTATACAGGAGCATAGCTAATGGTGGGCTGTTGGGAGGTTTAATGCCCCTATTCTTCATGAGTTGGTGGATAAATGTTTAGTTGGTCCACAAAACCCTTAGCTTGTCAGTAAAATTGTCTATCAGAAGGTGAAGTGGCACCTAAATTTTGTTCATCTATAAATTTTTCTGTAAATTTTACTATTGGTGATGCTCCCCCCCCTAGTCTGGAAAGTCAAGATGTGCCACCAACCAATTAGAACCACCTCTTTGCCTGCAGCTTGAAACAGTCACCTGCCAGGTGTAGAAAGGCATTAGAATCTACTGGCAGAAATGGGATGGTATAAAAAAGGAATTAGCTTCAAATGACAAGTTTATTAATGGTGAAAATGTTTAGACTTAAGCAGTTTAATACTTTCACACTTACTGCTGTTTTTAAATTCGCAAATAAGCGAAGTTAAAAACATTTATTCAACCTGCAATCTTACGTCCAGTACTAGCCATTCTTATTTTAATGGATTTTATGTGGATGGAGTAGCTGCAGTTTTTTTGAAAGTGCTTTGGTCCACGATATATAAACTATTCTGTACTATTTTGTAAAATTTGCTCCAATAGTAAAATAATACAATAACCTGTAGACCAAGTTTTGATTCAGATTATACTTTCTTTTTTAGATTTCAATATTTGACCTGGCAAATGTCTACATCAAAGATCCTGAGACTGTTATGGAGAAAATTAGAATACTGCTGGAAGGAGGTCCTGAATCTTTGCAGGTACAGCTAAAAGAATATTTCTAAAATGTTTCTTTCTATAATGAAATTGGTTGATATTGTCCATCCTATCTGGCATTTGACTGCCTTGCAATAAATTCTTATTGATGTCTGAGGAATTGCCAAACTGAGAGATTTAACGTATGGAACTAGAAATTATGTTGTCTTACATAGCATGGAAACTGCCTGTAATATGAGAATCTAATTCCCTTTTACTTTTGAAATGTTTATTGCTGCTTATGTTTTGAGGAAAATGAAGCAAAATTTTCATTGCCGTAAGTCACTGAACTATCAAATTTCTATACACCAAGTGAGCAAATATCATTGCACTACTTTGACGAATGAATAATGGCGTCAGCATTGTGAACAGCATGCCCTTCAAAATTCAAACCACTTTTGTAAAGCCATTAGGCGTCATTCCATGATTAAAAATCAATCACAGAGAACTTCAAACCAATGGCAACACTTTTTATTTTAATTTTGTGACAAATATCTTTTTAAAATATCAAGAAAGTAAATTAGTCTTGAAGCTTTGAAACTCTTGTAAAACTTGTTAAATTCAATTAAAAACTTTTGCAGCAGGTTAATTTTAAACGCCACATGATTAATTTAAATAGTGCTTGGCAAGATCACATTTAGGTGTTTGTGATCCCAGAAGATAATTGTTGACCTTGAATTTAGCGAAAAGTGACACTTTTACAGCCATTTTTTATTTTTATTCCAAAATATAGTACAGGTACTCTTACCATCATAGTCCAGTTTTTGTATTTTTGCAGTGGTTGATATAGCTCAAAAATAGAAGCAAACAAAGAATATTTTTGCATTTTTCAATTTTATTACTATACCTTGATAAATTTTCCAATTAATTTCCACCCTGGCAGTCATCTTAAAACTTTTATTCAACTTGCTTTAGCTATTTAAATTTTGGTTTGCTATAAAAAGTTTGGGGTGATGCTGCAATTTTGTGGTGGATGGTGCAATTCTTTTGTTCACAAAGTATAGTAACGTGAAATTATTTGGACTAAATTATAAGCAAGTAAGATATGGCCTTTGCCTTTAGAGGCTTGAATCTCCATTTTGACTTCTAAATCATTAGGAGCCTTTAGTTCCTTTAGAGGCTTGAATCTCCATTTTGACTCCTAGATCATTAGGAGCCTTCAGTGTCCCTGAATTAATAAATGTTTTCTTCCTATCCATCAAACTAGGCCATCAATAAATTTTATTACATTAAAGATTAAATCTTGTTACTGATGCAGTAGTTTAGTTATTTAGAAACTCTTACAGTTGTACTCGCTGTAAGCTGACTACTTGCTGCTTGCTTAGTAAAGAGACTCTAAAGAATGTTTACAATTATGTTTAAAATCACAATGGTGTCACTACTGCATGTTGTAAAGTTCTAGAAATGTTTAGGCACAGAGTATGTGAGAAAAGTTGAAAAATTTTACTTTTTTAAACATGTGTCATTTGATATCTGCATTAATCTGTGCTCATTCTATCCTATCTTATCCTATCCTATTCAACTATCCTATCCTATTAAATTTGCAACTTGCTGAGTTTCAGAGATATATTTTGTTTTTTTCTATTTGTGTTAGGTAATTAGTGATTTTGACATGACCTTGACAAGGTACCTAGTTGATGGGAAAAGAGGAGACACATCTCATGGTAAGGTGAATTTTCATATTTGATTGCAATTTGAAAATTTACTTTCAGATCCATGCAGTTATATGTGAGGGGACAGGGTTGTAACAGTTTATAAATTTATGAATTGTAAGGTTCACTTGATTAATTAATTTTTCTCTCATTTTTATCATTCAAGGCTCCATAGAGAAAGCTTCTTGTATGTCTGAGACTTTCAGAGTTCAGGTATGTTTTTCTTCAATATGGGATTTTATGTTGAGTAACCAAATTTGATTACTTTTGCATAGCAGTAAGAAGTAAAGAGACCAAATGGATCTTGTTTGGTCAAGAATGACTCTTGAATTGAAACATGATAAAAAATATGTTGCTTAAGCAGAAGGAATTTAAAAAGAAACATAAAGGTTGGGTTATGCTAAAGGAATCACCCACCTCATATTGCAGATATTTTCTTTGCCAACCAACCACCAATCCCGTGTCTGTTACAGCTTTCACTTCAAAGAATGACAATGGCTTGCTGGGCCTTGCCTTTTACCATCAACACTCAGTCATTTTAATTACTTTTGAAATAACGTGATAAGTTATAAAGCGTAAAACATGTAATTTGATAAAATCAAAATGTCAGCCTATTGTTAAAAAGAATTTGTAATGCAAAGGAATAATATGTTTAAGAGCTGAATTATTTTTATTGCCTTTATATCACATAATGGTGTGACTTGCTCTCTCAGCAAGTCATGATAAATTTTGTATTTTGATTGGTCATAAAAGATAGAAATGAGAGACACAGAGGGCTGGGTCCATGGGTCTGTACTGTGGGTAGTATAGAGTATTTGTTGTCCATTTATCCACACATAGGGTAAGTGGGTGTGGGTGTATGTTAACTATTTGTCAGAAGGGGGTGCCTGTCATACCATACAGGGTTTCTGAGCCTACATGTAATGATTGAAAGTAGTGCAACAGATGAATAAACTTTTGTTCAAAAATTGATGGCTTTGCGCATTATTTGCTGCATATGTTTGCTTCTAATCTCATCTTGAAAATGATACAATATGCAGCAACTAAGATGGTCAAGACTAAAGGAACCAGTCTTTCCATATATGTAGCATGTATGAAAATTGTTGTTGTATGGGAATGTTGCATTGCTATTGAATGTAGCTGTATGCAATATACCTTATCTGATTTTGATTGCTTTTCATTTCTTTTTTAGGCTTCAGCAACAAAAAATAAATACTATCCGTTGGAGCATTCTATGTAAGACACAGTTTAGACTCTTTTGAAAGTTTTCTGCAGGAATTTTTGTTAAAATCAGAATGCAATAAACAATGACAACAGGCATTTTTAGAATGTTTTTGGAAATATTTTAGCTTTTCAAAATATTATTATATCACTAAGTTTATACCCAATAGCTGTTTGATATCAAAAATTGTTTTCAAGTTGTATAAAACTAACAGACTTTCCTTTCCAGCGTCCACACATTCGAAGAAAAGGCAAAAATTATGACTGAATGGTGAGTTCCCTTGTTATCAGACACTATTTAAGGTGTTGTAAATAAAAAAATTCACTTGCAAGGAAGTCAAATCTACATATTATGAAGAAGGCCAATTTAGTACTGCGTTTTCATGTTAAAAGATTTATGAATTTTATTTTCAATTTTTTAGCTATGGTCTTGATTATTTAGATACCTTGTCTTCAGCAATCTACTGAGCTTAGGGATAGTTTCTAGGGTGGATCATACTTTAACGCCTCAACACCATTTATAAAGGCTGGCTGGTAACAGACCTCATTAATCTGCACGAGCGGTGCTCGCAGACACAAAAGTTCATCCTCAGCAATTTCTGCTGGCACATTTCTGAATCAATTTTTATTTACCTATTTTTGTATTACAGTCATACTTTCTTTAGGAGTTGCAAGTCTTTGTGTTGCAGTACTACTGATCATAACAGGGGTGTTCTCAATTTCTCAGTATCTGACTATAAATTGCACCCTATAACTTGCAGGCACATTTTTGCTCAGCTTTGTGCTCGCAGACAGAAAATATTATTAATTAGCCCTGGTGGGTACACAATCCAATACAGCTAGCTTGCCTTGATTTTAATAGAAACATTTCCAATAAGATGATCGTATCATGTTTTGTACATAAAGTAATATTTGTTACTTAATCAGGTGGGAGACCATTCACAAGTTGATGATTGATGATGGATTTCAGCGACGCTGGATCCCTGGTGTTGTTTCAGAATGCACTATCGTTTTGAGGTATTTCAACATTTTATTGACAAGAGAAAGGACGGCTGTGTAATGAATGGGGGGATGGGGTTATTACAAAAAACATCCCACAAATCAATAGCCAAAAGTAGCAACGCAATTTTGAGGCATTTCAACATTAATTGAGAGGGGGAAAAGCAGGCTGTAGTGATTTTAAAAGAATAACGAAACTCTTGCAAACAAACATAAAAAATAGTGGTGGACAAGGAAGGGGGCAGCAAAAGTACATCTTAAACATAAAAGGATTGAGAACTGTTATATCTAATGCACCTAAACAACACAGATGTTGAGGGGTACCTAAAAAATATTGATCTGAGTATCTGACGATAGTAATAGGGGCCTATTCTACTGTAATACACGCTTAATTAAGTTAAAAGCTGACTATACACATACATAAATGACACATGCAATTAAATGTCCTACTTTTTCTTGTGATCAATCCATTGATCGATCTCAATCATGGGAATAAAAAACTATGTAGTTGTTTTAAAACAGCAATAGGAGTTCATTGCACTGAAGCAATCGAGTGCATCCTTACCGGGGTGCACAGTTGGGTTGGGGGAGGGGTTGTCACAGATTCTAACTTATACTCAATCGGCCAATTTTAAGGTATCTTGGTCCACAGATGTGATCATTGAATAAATTTCCGGTCAAAAATTTTTCAACTTTCTTAGGTTTCAAAGATCCAGCCCTGAACTTTCTTAACTTTATGAAGAGCCGAGCACAACTTTTTTATAAGAAAAATGTGTATGATAATAATCGTATTATTTTAAAGTTGGCTGCCATTCGCTCTAGTTTCCACACTAAAAGGATCCCCCTTCTGTTTATTGAAATTTTGAAAAACGTACTCTTGTCAATAAGTTTTGTATGATATTTCCTAACCACCCACTCATGACGGACAAACGAGTAGAATATTCACTTATTAATTAGTTATAATAAAATCTTTGGTTTAAATCGGGACCAAAGCGCATTAGGCCATGTGACATCGGAATGACAGTGAGCTATGGTCGATAAGGGTTGCTGATATTTTGATAATAAGAGGTTTTTTCTCTGAACATATAAAAGATTCATGACCGTAGTCGCGTCAGGACACACAGCGTGCCTGCGTCAGCAACCAAGTTGTTCGTTTCTGCTCCGTGCTTTTAGAAGTCACTACGAAACAACGAAAACAATTTTAGGCTTTTTCGAGTAAACAGATCTTTTTATACAAAATAACACTGTTATGGTCTAAATACGTTTTCTTGTGTAAGATATTGCGAAAACCTGCTTGAAAGCCTCTCTTCAAATTTCCGGATTTCACATTGGCATTTTAAAATGCACCCCATTTAACAGCATATATGTTTTTGTCTAGTGAAGTCTAATGACAGAAAGATTGTTTATTGATCGGTTCCTAAGACGGTTCCCACGATAGATTTTGCTTGATATTTCGAAGGGATTCAAATCTTTAAATATTGTTGTTTCGAGTTCTTTGCTAGCAATCATTGATAATGGCCGACTTTCTTTCAACTAGAGATGGTTCTGATGTGTTTTTTCAAATCCTCGATGAAGCAAATGTTCCCTTGTATGTTGTCTCAGCGGGGATAGGAGGTGAATATTTCAGTGTGTTCTCATATCAAAATTACGCTTTGGTATGTACTAAAATGAATGCAGGAAAAGTTAGCAAAAGAAATTCAATAATATATAATAGAACGAATTAAAAAAGTGATAAATGACGAGTATAAAGAGAAAAATGAAGAAGTTATTTAAAAAGAATACCGAAGAAAGGCAAGGTAGAGGTTGTAAAAAGGAAGGGAAAGAGAGACCGATGAATGAAACACGTGAAAGATAAGATAAGTTTTAAGGAAAGAAAATTTGAAGAGGGGTTAAATAATAAAAATGATGTTATTGGCAAGATGTTTGTTGAAGGCAAGAGAAGGAAAATAAAATGGAAGGAATAAACAAACAAATAATCTTTGAGAAAATAAAGTGGCAAGGATACTGACAGAAGAAGGAAGAAAAGAGCAAAATTTAAAGGAAAGGAATTGGGTACATAGGACAAGGAAGACAAATAATAGTATAGAATAATAATTGTTGAAAGTTAGGGGAAAATGTTAAGAAATAAACTTGCCAGTAAAAACAATGAAAATGTGCTAAATGTGCACTAAGTGTTCAAGAGTCATTCACGAACTATTTTGTCAAATTTTTGTTTAACAAATTGATACGGTTTGCTATGTATTTATTATTATGTTGATAGATATTATCGAGGAAGCAATACAGAAGCAAAGTAGATTGCGTGATAATGCCCGAATCATTGCAAACTTAATGGAGTTCGATGAAGAGGTAAGTTCTGATATTCTTCCTGAAGGCGATATTTCAAATATATTGTGAAAAGAAGCTCCATCAGCTTTGGTGATTAATTTCATATGAAACAGAAAGTTCTTCTCACTTTTGAATTTTTAAATTTCAAGATAAACCTCAACAAAAGACCCAAGTTAAAGAGAGGTAGATTTGACCAAGTACTGATTTTAAAAGAATGGAAAAACATCTCTCATAGATGAATGATTGCTAACCCAGCTAACTGTCGAGAAAACAAACGAGAGGTGATTTTATAAATAATCCTCTTTGCGTGGAAGCTTCTTAGCCAGATCTTAAAGATTTGACAAGACCAACTGTTTTCTGCTCTGATCACGATAACGGTTTCCTTGATCTATAATTCCTCTAATTTAGCAAGTTCTTCAGTTTTCGAGGTGTGTAATTATAATGTATTTATTTATAAAAATCTTGATTGCAGTTAAACAGATAACGTAGAAAAGCATGAATTTATGTGCTTGCTGTTATTCGTTATCATAGTAGATTTCTACTTTTGGAGGAAAAACCTCCATAGTTTGACCTGACTTAAAAGGATTTAGAAAGGCTGTTGGTTGGGCTACCTACAAGCATTGATAACACCAAGACACTTGTTAGCGAACCGATAAATCGTAACAGATTACAAGTAATGAAGAGTAAACTTCTAAAAAGTTGCTATAAGGAAACGACCTAAAGCCCTTGTTCATCTAGGTAGATATTAATCAAAGCTCGTTGTAATAACAAGGACATTTTAATTAGATGTTTGTGTGGCAAATAGCCACTATGTGATCAGCGGGGCTACGGAGGAAGCCGGGGCACTCAAGGATTTTTTTCTGGTCTCATTTTTTTCGATACAGTTCAAGCTGGAAAAATAGTTTAGCATGTTATGAATCAAAAACACGATGTTTCCTCAATGCCATATCATCCTAAAGGTTCACAGGGAGCCATCTTATTTTATGATAAGCCTTAAATCGAACAGACCAACAGGGTATAGATTTTGGATAGGCAACGAAATTTGAGAAGAAAAGACATTGCGAAAATCTGGTAGGCCACAAAGGCAGTGCAGTTTTCAAGCACAGAAAACAGCACAAAGAAGCGCGCGACGGACAAAACACCAATAATTATCATTTTTGTTTTTTAATAGCTCCTCTTTTGGCTCGTTCCTCACACATACAATTAATGACCTTGTAAAACGATTACTATTCAAAAAGAAATCTTCCTCTTCTACTTGACATTAAACTTAATTTTTACGAAGATATTGTTAAAGTCGCACATGTATTAGAATATCGATCAAGATAATGAATCTGGTGACAACCCACGCCAGGTCACCTAAAGATTTCTCATAAAGTGTCGTCCGTTATACCATGTGAACGTTACTTGATAATTCTTTTGCAGCCGCTCATGGTCGATTTTGCTTTGTTCCAGTTAGAAAATGTAACCTCTGATAATTTGAATCGTTCGATTGCTCCACAGCTTCTGCGAAACAATTGACAGTGGTTCACATATTTCATTATCACATATCACAAGTGTCTTTTCTAGTAATTTCTTGCAAAAATATGTCGTGATTTGATTATAGAATTGAATCAGTTTTTATAGCTCAAATGATTTTTATTTTCAAAAGATTCTGTTTTAATTTACATTTAATACTTATCCTGAACAGCTTTGCAAATATTGTAAACCTAGTAAAAGATAATTAAACGAAAATGACTAGAGTTTTCACTGCCTAATGGAGTTTTATTGGTGTAGGGAAAACTCTCTGGTTTCAAAGGAGATTTGATACACTCGTACAACAAACATGAAGTTTTGGATCATATTAGAGGTTTTGTTCGACACACGAAGGTAACATACTTGTTGCACTGTTATCTAATTTCGTTTATATTTTTTTATTAAATTCTTATTCTGCTTTGTTATATAATTATTCTCTCAATTGAGCTAACAAAAGAGCCTAAAAAGTTTTCAGGCCATTGTGTATTCTGAAACCGAAGGGTTTGATGTCTTGGTAACTATGCCGTAAGTGCCAAAAAACTTCCGTGTAGACGGTAAACTGCTTCTCAATTGCTTCTCAATTTTGGTTTCATTTAGAAGTATATTTAACAATTGAAAAATGATCGCAATCAACGTGGGTGCTTTTTGCGTGAGAGATCTGCCTAAGCTAATGTTTTTTCCCCGGGAAGCAATTTGTTCCTTGCTAGGCACAAACACCAATTTTTCTGAACCTCGATGAATGTCTTTAGTATTGCTGAAGCAGATGCATATCCCAGACAAGCTGCTGAGTTAAGAAAAAGGTTGCCTGTTTGTTTTTAAAACTTCAAATGTATCCATATTAGAATTAATCAGTTCTGTATGCAGGCATTATACTGAGCAATCATAAGTGCCTGACACTGAGCACTGACTTATGCTCGGTTCACTTCTGCAAAAGGAAACAGGCGACTCGATGATTCTTTAGAAACCATAAGGAATTATTTCTCAATACTCTGATTAAAAACTGTATACCTCAGGAACAGTCATTCAAAACAGTCATCCAAAGGTGCTTGAATAATTAAGCGTCTAGAAAACTTCGGGAAATGTGTAGGCTATAGATGACTTAGAATGCCTATTCTTTCGAGGTTATGTAATGTGTCCAAAAAATATTATTCTCAATAAAAGTTATAGTTAGCAACAATTTTAAGAAACCAACAGTACCTTCTCTTTCGTACTGTTGGAAAAAACACAAAGCCATTTAATTTAGCGACCTAGTGCATTTAACCCGTGTCTCCTATAGATGTATAGTAAATGATTTTTACAATAATGCAGAAATCTCAAAATCGATACCTTATTTCAGAGTTCCCAAAAATTCATCATTAGATCTTTAAATCTATATCAACTAAAAAAACAACGAATCTACCAAATTCATTTCCAGTATAAGAGATTTAGAAACAGTATTTTGATCCAACTCATTGCGCTTTCTACGTAGGAAATGAAGAAACAATGCTGTCAGTAAAAAACTTTGCTTTACATATTTAATCAGATGTTTAGTCCTCGACTTTAGCAAGCATTACTCAGATTGTTTAGCTGTTTATTCTTCTATCATTGGAATGCCTTGCATATTTATACATCAAATTTGTGCATCTTTGCAGAGTCGTCACAATCTCATTCTGTTTGGAGATACGCTTGGGGACCCTTCGATGGCAGATGGTATGGTTCATGTCACAAATGAACTAAAAATCGGATTCTTGAACTACAAGGTATCAAACAAACAAAATACTAATTTTCCATTTAGGAAAATTCACGATATAAATTATCTTATAAAATAATTTCCATTTATATCTTATAAATATCGATATAAAATAATTTTGTTGTCTAGTGGAATATTTGACTTCAAGGTAGCACAGTGATAAATTGCGGACCATGGAATCAAAAACTGCCATTCGCATTATCATTATGATTGACCATCAAATCAAGGTGAAAGGAGTTTTTAGGTTTCCAGGGAATATCTTTGGACGTTCAAATCCAAACAGCGGACCATGACATTGCTCGATAAGCATTGAAAATTTTTGTATTTAACTGCCATCGTGTAAAGTGGATGTCACCAAAGTTTTATGGTGCAATTTTCAAATCAAAGTGCAGTCTTGGAAATTTTAATTTTGATTTCACAATTTTTCTCATTTCTGTTAGTAGGAATACACTTCATGTTTTGCATTCCAGTTGTATAAATTTAGCAAGTTTGATGGGAATTTTGTTTGAAAAAATGCAAAGACAATGACATGTTTTGTTGTTTTTTGTTACTTAAGTATAAACATTCGGCCAAATTTACCATGGAACTAGCTAAAAGTAGAGCTTGACATAAGCGAAAACATTCCGCTGAAAGGTCAAGAAACAAAACTTGCGAAATAGTTATGATTCAATCAAATCTACGAATATTCATTGTTTAACCGCTCTTTATTTAGTTTATCGTTGTGAATGCAAGATTTTTTAGAAACAGATAACGATTGACGTAATAAACTTGCGTTTTTCATTGCAACTCTAAATCAAAAGATTTCTGGGTCACAGGGAATACTTATCTATTTAACCTCGGTGTGATGTCCACAGTTGCTATGGATTTACCAAAGAATTGAGAAGCTATTAGTAGAATGTAGCAATTGTGCAACCAATACAAACTAGGAAGATGCAAGTGATTTAAAAGCCTTGTTTTTGCTTATCGGATTCATCATGTCATAAGCTATTAGCGGTGCTTTACGCCGCAAACCAGTTGCTGGTCGCCAACCTTATTACTCATCTATTCGTCCTTCTTTAAAGATCGTGCAAAATATTGCCTTTGATAAGCTGGGCCCCCCATCCTCGTGGATCACGCTTGTGTTGTTCTATAAATTGATTTCTGCTTCACATAGCCTTTATTGTGATGCGTAGGAACTTCCACATGGAGGTTGCTGTTTTCGTTGACACTTTTAAACACACTTTCAAACAGCCCGCTGTTTTTCTACGTATACTTGTACAATCTGAATTAAAATGATTGAATATAATAGGCTAAATTTTCAAACGGGAATCATTGGCGTCATTTTCCAGAACTATCACAGATATTTTTCTTTATCTTCAATTCAACATCTTATTGTTTTATGTTTTGTATGGATGCATTTTTTAAGGTTAGAACGGTCTGGCAAACACTCCCTAAACAGTTTGCACTGTCAAAATAAGGTGAAACATCTGCCCGCGGCCTGTTAGTTGCTTCACCGTCAGACCATTGCACATGTCTACTTACTTCTCGATTCAAACAAGCAAAAATAATTCGAATTGACAGCCTTTCATGTTAAACCTTGAATTTTTTTATTCGAATACGAAATTGAATTGTGTTTGACCTAATTTTTGTTTGCCGCTTAAAAGCAATTTTGGAATAAAGTGAGATGTGTGAAAATGAGTAATGTCTCTGCCACTGAGTGCATTTCAGAGGTACTTAGTTTTTGGAATTCGAATCGCTGTCCCAGGGTCTAGAAAAGGTCTTCATTAGAACACAAAGAAAGCAAGGTGTGCGTTGGGCGTGGTTCTTTAATTCTTTTTGTTTTAATTTTCCTTAGTTTTCAATCGTTTGAGTTTTGACCGTCATGGTAAGAAAGTGCACCCCAGATTTAAGGATAAACTATTACGGGGGAATAGTTCGAGTATCTACAGATTTAGTTAGAAATATAGAGCGAGATATCAGAAAACCAGAATTTGTCGTGGCTATGTCGTTCTCTCTACCTTAGTTCATAACACAGTTGCTCCGGGCTCTGGGCTGTCCCTTGTAAGGTTTAACTAGAAATGCTAAACTAGAGAGGGTTGGTTAACTAAAGAAAGTTTAACTGTGGGGTGTAAAATCCATCTTGATACGATGAAAGAAACAAACATAACGCCCTACCCGTAGTAATCTCATCTTTTCGTTTTAATGATGATATAACTTGATCTTATTTTCAATAATTTATAGAGAAAGGTCAATTTGATCTTATATTTATATCTTAGCTTGTATTTGTATTTTGATAATATTTTTCCTATAGCCTGACGAACTCCTCGAGGCCTACCAAGATGCATATGACGTAGTTTTAGTAGAGGAAGAAAGCTGGGATCTAATCAATGAATTCCTTGCTTGTTTACTGAAGCAACGCTTGTAAAAGACAATTATTTTTGTAATTGGTCCTCTGAACCTATATCAAATGTGGACTGTAAGTATTCTTAGTTAATGTCTAGTATTTAAAAAAAAAGTTTTTATCTTGAGGAAAATTCCTAGAATGTAAAGTGTGGATTTTCTTAGGTTTAGATACATTACTAAATTAAACTCTTCAATTTGATATTTAGATGTAGCTAATTAGACATAACTCACAATCTTTCCTTCAATTATAAAAGTTATTTTTGGTTTAGTAGATTCCTTGTATTTAGAATCATACTTGGGTTCATCTTTCTTCCACAATACAGAAGCAAGGTTGCGCTGCTCCAAACTGTGTAACTTTTGTTTGTTAATGCCTAGAGGAATCAGGAATTGAACTGTCCGTTAACATTTTTCCAGAATTTTCTTTTTGTATGTGTATTTGCTATGTCTTTTTATTTCTCTGAGTAATGTATACGTCAGGCTGATGGAAAAGACGAACAAGTATTGTGTAGGAAGTTTCTCTCGTTGGAAGTTTCTCTCGTTGGAAACTCGCCAGAGTATGACCTGCTAGATAAGTAACAGAATATAACTAACTGCGATACCGGATAATAAGTTCATTTTTACAGTAGCAGTTTACTATTTATGAAAAGCAAGATATGATTGTTTGGTGAAGCAAAGCTTTCCTTATCACTGCCCGTTCCTTAAACTTGAAACAAAGATTTTCTTGGATTTTATTTCATTCTTTCCTGTTTTTTAACTTAATTCATCTTTTGATATTTTTCCATTAATGTTTTAATTGGAAATTCCCTATTTATGCGCTCACAATATTGCTTTTTATTGTCATTTTTCAAAAGCACCAATGAAAAATATCTTTTTCCAACTGACTGAATATGTTGAACTATCTGAAAAAATAACATTATAATAGTTTGGCATACTTATCCGACAGGTGAATCGTGAGCAAAGGTTTAGGAGACAGATATGCAAATTAACGCGAAAGCGAAAGATATCATTTGGAAGAGGCAAATGTATTTGCACAATTTACTGTGATATTTTCCTATCGGTTGTTACATAATTTACGGCTTTGAGTGGCTAGCTTCTTACAGCACTGTTGGCTGTGGTTGTGGTGAATGTTTGTGTTGAGATAGTTCACAGTTGACAATTAAATGCACCTCAATACCGAAATGTAGCTCGCTTTGATTTGCTGTTCTGAACTTTGAGAAGGTAGAGAGTAAAAACAATGTAAGAATGGGATGGGGGGAGCTTTGCCCTTTCGAAGCATGTGCTTTTTGACGCTCAAGACTGTGTTTTCAAGAGTATGTTTGCGGTTTTACGTTTCCAGTACATCTTATAGTATAAGATAATATAATGAAACTTAGATGCTTAGACTCGCCATCCGAACGTCCATTTTAGTTAGGCATGTCATTGCTTTTAGCTAAAAGTCCAAGCAAAAAATTTTGCTCAAAGCCGTTTTAATTTCTTGTACAATAATTTCCCCGTCCTTCTTCTGTAAAAAACCAATATTGTTTCGAAAGTAGTACATCTGTTTCATTGAGCCTATTTGAGTTTCATTTGGCACTAAGAATAATCTTCGATCATTTATTTATAGCCCTGCTGGCCCTGTGAATCGGTCCTAGTCTTGCAAAACATTAAGACCCTTAAAATGGAGAATAAAGTGCATATTCATAAAGGATTTATGGGTTAGACCTGATTCGAAACACATTTGCATTGCTGATTCTCTTCTCACGCAGCCATAGCTGTTATTTGCATAAGTAGAGTCAATCTTTCTAAAAAGGGGTGTTTGATCACTTATTGCAAATATTCAAATATTGAGGTAATAGTATGCCCATATTCTGCTTTAATAGTTTTTCCATTTGCAGAGTGGCCTTGAAGTTTTTTGCATCGAAATGTTTTATAGAAAATGGTACTAACTTGATTATTTGTCACCAGTGAACGGCAAAAGAAAGGGGTCCGGCGATAGAAAGCTTGGTACATAGCTGGCAGGTAGGCATATGGACGTATAGTTATGCGATTGTAAGGTCGCTTAAGGTCATTGTAGTTTATCGACTCGTCTGTTAGATTTAGAACCATATACGTTTTTAATGCTGTCAAGGAGAATATTCACTTTTTGTTTCTATTTTATAAACTTTTGGTTCTCTTCATTGGCCAAGAGAAGCTTCTTGCTCAACATATTAAATCAATTAATTTTTGCATTTATATGAAATTAAAAATTTTCCTATTACGTTTCGGTTTCCAATCCTTGGTCCATTAAGATGGTCGAAGGAAGGGAAGTTTGCACTTTCCGGCTCCTTTCGACAATGTATAAATGAACTATTCACTTGAAGAAACTTATAGCTTACCCCCGGATTAATACAATTGCTAGATATTTTCATCCACATTGAAACGGGACAGACAGTGCAGAGAAACTGCTTGTTGCTAGTCAGTGCACTTTTGCTGTAAGTAATTCTTGTCTTTCACTTTGTAAGGGCGTTAAGTTGAAAGTAAGCTATTTCTTTTCAATTGGTACCAAAATTCTGATATCTGATTGGTTGCCTATGATGTATATTTATTTCACAGTTTCCGCACTCATTTAGTGTTGTTGGTCCAAAATATATTCATTTTTCCTCTCAAAGGTATAGAGTTCTTAAGTGTTGTGTTCATGAAAATCTATTTTTACAAGTTTTGCCTACATACAGTTTTGACTGTATGGGTCCACAAACCACAAGGTAAGCACGACTGTATTTCGTTAGCATAAAATTACATTTGAAGGCTTTTTCTGTATGTTGACAGAGCCTTGTTCATGATTTCTGAAGCACTGAGAGGCCACCGGCTTATTTCACAACCTGTTTAGTGGCGAGTGGGTTTTCGCATATGTCATCATTTGTTCTGGATGCAAACGAAATATTTTGTTGACAATAACGAAATATTTAACAGAAAGAAAGTTCTTCTATTGCAACAGGTGGGTTTGTTTTACGTATATTTGCATTGTATTTATTTGTTACGACGCTGACTTTTGAAGTTTATTTCATTCTTGTCATTGGTATGCCACGGTTATCAATAATTTAAGGCAGTTTGATTATTCCTTGATTAAAACATAATTTGCTCTAAGGTTGTTAAAATTTTTAATTTTCTGTAACACTGTCAAAGCAACTTTACATGTTAAGTTCAAACTATGACCACGTGGTCTTTCTCAAGCGTATTTGATACCTTATTAACATATAATCAGCAACACGTGTCTTTCGAGACTCGCTGAGGCCAAAGTGGCTTATACTTACGGATTTGTAGAGATTGACAGATCGACGTACATTTGTGTTAAAGCAGTCATGACTTTACATTAATCGTTTCTAGCAGGTATTACTTTTTACAATTCTATGGTTTATAAGAACCCGTTGCTTGTTGCAAAAGTATTGAATTTACATTGGGAACTGTAAGCATGTGTATGTTTTAATATTTACACGGAAAAACCCTGGGTGTTATCTACACAAGGCACTCTTGCTCTGTGAACAACAAATCTAAGCCTCTTCTATGACGTCACCAGGAGGCTATTTCGGCCTGCAATGCACAGTACTTGTGACTTTCAAACAATGATCCATATTTGAAATGCGTTTGTTTAATTTCAGAAATTCCATTCGTTGGATATATAAAGGTTTAGACACGGTGACTAATATCAGAAGTAAACTCTGCATTGATTATCCACGAGAAGACGTCTTCGCATGCAAAAGTCTATGATATACGTTGAAGTCAGGTGTGTGTGGTTTAAATTATAGCCTTTTTCAATGCGAAACTCTTACATATTATCAATCATTAGACCAGTGTTTTTCAACCACTGTATATTGTCTGGTGTGTCGTGGAAAATTTTCCAATTTCATCTAATTGGTCAAAAAACAGTCCACAATTTCACACTGAGCGAAAAAAATATTTGGTTTTACAAGACACTTCGATGAAACGAATTTATATTGCGAATATAAGCCATATAGTTTCATTTCTTAACATTTTTGGTTGATGTTGTGCCTCATGTTTTTTTAAATAAATAAATGTACCATGGATCACAAAAGGCTGACAAGCACTGCATTAGGCAAATGCTTTAGTCTTCTGGTGTCAATAACAGGGTTGATCTTCGTTGCAGATTTGCCCCTTGGTGTGACATTGTTAAGATTACAATATACAGCTCGAGACAACGGGACCTCTTTGCTTTTAGTGGTGCCTTCCTCTTTGCTTTTCCTGCATATATTGCTGTATTTTTGCTGCTAGATAAAGGGACTTTAAAGTTTAAGACCTAGATTGCGTCAATGTGATATGCCGTGCTGTGCTTCTGTGACGCCATCTCCTTATAAAAAGCCCCTTTAAGAACTATTCCAAGAGGGCTTACTAATGCCCTTGTGAAATGGTTTCAATCGCTTCAATGAAAATTCGCCTAAAAGTTAGATTTGAACTATTTCAACCAAATTTAGCTCATCCAAATTTTCAACCAAATTTCTTTCATTACGATATCTACTCGTTGTTCGAAGCTTCAAGCCAAATATCATTTGTTTCAAATGAATATTCCCTTCCCAATCCATCTATTTTAAATCAACTGTGATGTAGGATTAGTCGAGTTGCTAGCACTTGAATCAAATAGAAAAATATTGCCCTCCTGATGTTGTTCGGAAAGTTTTAGATGTTTGCTGACAACTGAGAGCAACACGACGCAGCAGTTAATCAATTCAACTCAATTTAATTCAATTCAAAATGTCATTCACTAGTCATTCACAGTTTCAATTACTAAACTAAATACATACAAAAAAATTTTCCCTGTTAAATTAAAAAGAGTAGATAGAAAAGGTACAAGCTAACAATATAAGGATAACAGCAATTATTACGTTGTTAAACTGTATGACATTGGAAAAAAACTTCTCAAAAACTCACGAGTTCTATCTAGCCGCATGCCCTATTTAGATGAATTGGTGTTTAGAAAAAAGTAAATTGAATTTGAATTATAATTGAAAAGCAGTAAGATTGCAATAAAGCTAGATTGATATCAAAATTAAACGTATTCATTTATTTATTTTATATTTCGACAAATTTCACCAATTCTTAGCTTGAATATGGCCTAAATCAGACACCTTACTTCGCCATATGAAGAGTTAAATGTTTAATGTTAAAAGCATTGAATCCCACGTATGAGAGATTTCATCAACTGCGATGTTCTAGCTTATGCCTGAACCTGGGATTTCCCACCACCTTTGTTTGTGTAAGGCCCTCTGGACACTGAACAATATTCCAACATGAAAGCTTAGTGAAAATTCTAGTTCATTTTCCTCTTTCTTTTAACAATGATCAATGAAGAAAACTCGATGTGGAACTTTTCCAAATTTCTCATGTAAACGCAGCCTTAGAGGTCAGTGAATAATTGATCTGAGTCAAATAGCTGGGCGAAAAGTTTGTTTAGTGCTATATTCATTTCATTTCGTTACTGAACTAAGCAAACGGAAAATGTTTCTGACGAATAGGGTATGCGTACGCAAGACTGTAGGAATTTCTGTTGTGATTCATGATTAAAATGGCACAAAAAGTTAAGAGCTTCTCTTTATATGTTCAGAAGAACTGAACGCACGTATGCTTTTTTATAAGAAAGTTGCTTGTGAGAAAGTAAAACTGGGCCTTTCAAACAGGAAACAGCTAAGCATTTTGTCTTTCAACTTTAAGAAAGTATCTAATTATTCTAGTTTCACTTTTAGATTACCTTCCAGCAAATAGAAAATAATATACATTTAATTATTTCACCGCACAACTATTTATCGGTCAATAACAATTTTAGTTATTGATAGACTTAAGCAATGTCTTTGCTTGCCTCGACTGAGATTAATGCCTTGCGACCCTGTTGCTGTATTGACCAACCTGTTCAAGGCTCAATTTTTCCGAAAAAATCTGTGAGAAACTGCGTTGTATTTTACGATTTAAACGGTAGGTTAAGTAGAAACAGTTTCTTGGTAAGGATATTCTAAGAAAGTTACAATGCTCAGGTCCTGGAGGGTCTTGAACTCATTTGACCGCTCGACACTAAATCAAGTGATATTTTCAATGAACAAGTTTATTGACATGTTCAACTAATAATAATAATAATAATAATAATTATAATAATAATAATTATAATAATAATAATAATAATTATAATAATAATAATAATTATTTATAATAATAATTACATAACATCATAAGCAAATTTAAATAAATGAATCTGGAAGGTATTCTGCCCTCCCCTCCTTCGCATTGGAAAGTGAAATCTGCACGCAGGCTATGAAATGTGCCCTTCATTTGTCCAGGGCCATGAAAAAATAAAGATGATAAAATATGATAAATGCAGCTCCAGTTGAAACAGAAAAGTAAGGCGAACCGCTCAGGCCTCCTATGGTAAACTCAGGTTCCTATGGTTCAGGCCTTCTTTTAATAAGATGCATGTGCGACAAGCCCGGTGTAAACCGCCCGTCAAAGAAATGCAAAAAGCTGATGTCCAAGAGAAATCTTGGATTATTGGTTAAATTTCCTAGGAATGTGTCTGTAATTCAATTTACCAAAATTCACATGTTGCAAAGCTCGTGTTGAGACCTGCAGATGTCTTTTTGTGCTTTCTTGATGTGCTTTCTTGCCTTTACAGTCAGCTTGGTTTTCGTCTTTATTCCTGCCATTGCTGTTGATCGATCTATAGCTTCAGCTTCTCTATCGTTCTACTGTGAGTTTGAAGATTCTTTTACATTTTCTGGCTTCACGTTTATGGATTTTATAAGTTGGATTATGTCTAGAAGCTCTTTAAGTTAAAATTGTTGCTTTCAACTTTATATTATTTGGTTTTCACAATACTTGATAGTTTACTTTTGTTTAGAATTCCTTTTTTTGAAAATTTTAGAATCTTAAATTTGCGGCTAAGTTCTTCATGGCTGCTAAGAAACCGTTTCCAAAACCATGACCTTATTTTTGGAAACAAGAAGCCTTTAAACATTGATTTTAATTCTAAGAACTCTCTCCCAAACGGTTTTTTCGAACCTTTTTGTCCATAAATATGAGCAATATTGTTGTTTTTTTTGGTTAGGACATGAAGGTAACCTATATGCGAGCAAACAGTATTTAATGAATTCAATATGGTAACAATAAGCAATCCTGTAAAGAACTTAAAAAAATTGCCTACAATCTCAAAAACCATTTTTCATATTGAAAGAATGCAGACTTAAAAAGGGTTTTAAACGCGGATAAAACTAAACGCGTCGCCAGTTACAGTCTTGGTGTAAGTGCCAGACGACTTTTGCACCCAGCTGTTTGATATTTTCAATTGATATTAGTTGCCTGTAATTTGTGTCTTGTTTAGGCTTCAACCGATTTGTTATTTGTCATGTTTTTCATGAAAAGGAAGCAATTTTGCGTGCAAAAGCTGGTGAATTTTTAAATAATATCTTAGTGGATGGTCAACATTCCCTCTTGTAAGCACCTGACATCAGGTTGTAGCACTGAAACTTGTAAAAAAATTGCTTGACTCTTAAATAAGCAAAAAGTTTTGAATCTTCTTAATGAAAAGTATGCAAGGAGAGAAAATGAAGGAAAAACTATATGTTCTTTATATTTGGTATAAAGGCTACTTAATCCGTTATAGTTTTTGAAACAGCAAACGCGACCTGTTCAAGGCAAACGGTGAGACCGGTTCGATACAATGCGAAAATAATTTTTTTTCTCCTGTCAGCCTTTGCCTTCTGATCAAATTTATAAATATGCATTATGAATATGTTTTGGAGTTATTCACGAAACAGGCTTTGTAGGGTGATTTTCTTCAACTCTAAACTATATCACGCTCTATGTGCAAACGTATTGAGCACTGTGCTTAGGCCCATAGGGATGGGGGCGTGGGGGGGGGCGTCACACCCCCAACCCCCCTGGAAAAAATATTGTCGGCAAATCTGGTATACCATCGGAAAATCCTGTGATATGTTGGAAAATCCTGTGATATATCGGAAAATCCTGTGATATGTCGGCGAATATTGCCATTCGTAAGCAAACATTGCATCCTGAGGTGGCAATAACAGTGTCATGGCATATCCACCTGTCCAGCGTCTGTGTTTTTTAATTGTTTTTTATTTATTTAGTGGTGTTTCCTTGTTGATAATTAATATCCATCCATGAAAATACTGCCCTAGTTCATAAGCAATAGATTGCAAGAGATGACTGCAAAAAATACTCTGAAATGCATTTTAAGACAATCTAAAAGGCGAAGTCGCAAAACATTTCTGCTCGCTCCGCTCGCAAGGGGCCTCGTCTTTCAGTTTTGCTGCAAGGCCTCCGAAGCCTCTCGGGGGTCCTGTCAGAAAGATCAACGTGCTGAACTATTTGAATTAGTGGGGGTATCTCATTGCTCAAAACTTGACTTCTATAAAATCAAAGAAAGTACCCACAGTTACTCGAAAATCGAAGCGATAATTGATTAACGAGAACATACTATTTGATAAACAAAATCAATTGCGTCCAAATGCCACACCCAAAATTGATATTTCTTAGACTGGTACCCCCCCCCCCCCCAAGTGAAAGTGCTTAGCGACGGCCCTGAATGTGCTACTGAAGTATCAACAGACAATTTTTTTCGATATTCATTATACATAAATATATATGTACATTGATGAAAGTTACTGTAAGACCTTACATTTACACTGAGGATTTCCAGAAAAATCACATCAAGTTTTTGTTTGTTTGACATCACCATGCCGCTGCATGAGGGTAGATTTCTTAAGATATCCTAAAAAAACCTGCATTTATTTTGATAAAATACATTTGTTTAAGGCTCTATATTCCAGTGTTACACAATTTGCTCTTTTTTAAAAACAAGGTTATTACGCCTTAAAATTCGAAACTCCGATACTTGAATCGTGTTTTCTGAATTCGCTGTTTTCTAAACAACGAATCTCTCCCAAGCTTTTTATATCTTTTGACGTGAAAGATCTACCATTTTGCACATAATCTAGATTGTACCTCGGAATTTTCAGATCTTAAAACAGAATTGCGAGTTGTTAATAAAGTATGAGGACTTGGTGAAATACGTTCTAGAAACTTTATGCCAGTCAGGTAGTTTCTCGAGAAGAATTCTTTCAATGTAAACTGAAAAGTACGCAGGTGCAAGACCATTGATTCGTGTGTAGAAGGTGGTTGCTGTCTCTCGTTTGGCAATTTCACTAATAGTTGGCCAATTCAGTCTTTTTATCAGTGCATCCGCAGGTGCATCATAGCGGCTAATGGAATTTTTAGCTTTTATAGTGTAAGTCGTTTTGATTCCCACTGCTACCCGGTAAAGAATAACAGAAATTGATATGCGGTCTCTACGATATCTCTATAGAGTTTGCAAGTTTTCTGGGGTTGCATTTCTAAGCAAACTTCAAGAATCAGATAGCTCGAGAAACCGTAGCACACAAGAGCCTGACTTTTGCATCCCAAACGAGATGTCGATCCAGTTTCACTCCTTAGTATTTAGTTTTTGAATATGTTCTCAACTTGTGAGTTTCTAATTGCAAGGGAAAGAGAGTTGGTCTTGAAATTTAACTATTAAAGTCTCCGTTTAGGTTTTTATAAAAAACGTAGATGTTGTTGGAGGATTATGGTATGGTTGTATTATGGCAAATCCTTAATATCGGTCAAGAACAAGAGAGGACCAAGACAAGAGCCTTGTGGCACATATTTAATGTTATCTAGTTAGATCTACGGTTCTAAGTGGACATGAATGACTTTCAAAAAGAGCACAGTCAAAATAGATTTGTCAGTCATTTTTCATAATGTATTTAAGACAAAGACAATTACGGAATCAGCTGCTCTCTGTCGATCTTTAATCTTCTCTGTGACGAAATCTTTTAAAGATTTTGAAATTTGTTAAAAATGCTTTTACCGTATGTTGTATCAAGTGCCAAAGAGCTTTTGAAATTTATTATGACTCTTTCTTTATAAACTATCTAAATCTGAGATAAGCCTGACTTTCAAAAACGATTTTTGCATGAGTGGGCATTTCTTACATTAAATGTAATAAAGCGGCATTACAAAGGACCGTATATTTTGATGTTCTTCTCCGCAGTTGCTTGTACTCAGCCTGTAATCGGTAACATCGTTTCAATAATTTTTAACCTTGTATAATTTGAGGGCAGGACTGCTAATATTTTCTATGTAACCAAGCACTAACGTTTTATGAGGTATTGTCGCCTACAGTTAAACTTGCACCGTGAGTCTGATATCTCTCTTATACATCGATCTTCAAACAAGGAACAAACGACGTCTGCCCCTCAAAACCTGGTAGAAGTAGTCTCCCGTACAGCAGAAATTTCCCCGCGTCGATAAAAGCTATGGTTCCGCAGCTATTTGTTATGTTGAGGGTCAACTGTCGACATAGGGCATATTCTCTTCAAGTCAAAAGTTTTGGCAGCAAATTGTTACGCTTTCATAGTAGATATAAATTCGTCTTGGAAAATGGACGCATTGCAAATACAGATCCAATTGTCCCGTCGCAATGTAATTCCTTCGAATCCAAAGGGAGCCATTACTAATCTCAGAATGTACCTCTTCCAATGGATGAGGAGAGCTTCTTGAAGTAGATACATCAATGAAAAAATTGTCTACTTTCTCATTTGTCCACACCTTACCAAAGGTGTACGATTAGTGTTTTTATTTGGATATCTTTATTAAATTCAAATATCGGGTTAAAGATATTTTTATTATGATTTTTCATAATATTTCAAAAAAGCGTTCAGGTTTATCGATTCTTTAGAAACAGAAAAATATCTGGTTGCCCTAAGCGAGCCCCTTGCTTTGCCTGTCCCTGAAGCACTGAATTTATGCTTGCCCCATTCAGTTAAGCGCCCCTGCGTTTGTAAGTATATGATCACATGGTGCAATCGATGTAAGTGAGTTGGGTCTGATAAGGCCTTTAGTGAAAATTTATAAGATAAATGCAAGCAATAAGAAAGAAAAAAAATCTAATATCGGAATGCTAGATTTTTATCACCTTGTTGATTAAGTCTTCAAATGCAGATCACCTGAATAAATAATTGATTAGCATTCTTTTTATTTTGATTTCAGACCACCGTAACAGCGATACCGTCGCTCTCGAACTGTGTCCTGTTGCTGTATTAACGCTTGCACGCGCTGGTTATCATACGGTGAACCAACAACATCTTTGTCTTGCGTTGTAGGCATATTTCAAAGTCTAGTTCGCTTTTATGAGACTTTGGTTGACAAATAGGCCCGATTTGGAGGGCAAGGCGTAGAAAGAAGAATAATTACAACACGGAATTGTGTAAAATATTTGTAAGTATCTTTCGTGAGTTTGAAATGTTTATCAACACTGAATGAAATAACTCTGCGTTTTCCTATAAAATCTTTCTCGGTTCTGCATTACAACGATAAACTGAATCTGTACTGTAACACATATAATCACCCAAAGTTTAGTAGCATTTTATTTGTTACTAAACATCTTGCCAGTCTTCGAACGTTTTACTAAAATAAGTAGTTTGTTTTCCTTAATTTGTCATATGTCAGTAAAAGCATTCGGATAAAATGTTTGATAATTTCATAGCAAGATCACTTCCAAACAGCATTTATATTTTATCATTAAACATTATATCTTAATTGATAGATTAATTTTGCCTTCAAGATTTTTAACTCAACATTACAGGACTACGTTGAATGAACACCTTAAGAATGATTTGTGTTAAAAATTTTTTATCAAATAGCTCAATTCATATAAAGTACCTCTCTTTTAGTGTATATGCTCCAAGGCAAAATATATATTATTCTTTATTTATCTGACTTTAAAGAAGGAACGGGGGCGAATGCCACTTCTTTTACCCCCATCAATAGGGTTTTTTAACATGAAATCACATGAAAATACATGTTATTAAATTTCTTTTGGCTCATAATTTTTTATAAATTATATTCTATTTTTGATGAAATATAACTGGGTATATTTCTATCAGTTATATATTGTTTATTCTACTGGATATTGATGTGTATTGAATTTCAATTTTTTCAGCTTTCGAAATATTTTGCAAACTTTTTAAAAATTATAAGATCGTATTTTGACTCTTTGTTAGTTGAAATGATCAACTTTCAAACCATTTTCTTATTTGCATAGACCCTTTGATGCGTAAAATAAGACGACTATATTTTGCTTAGCTAGAACCATCTTATGGAGCAAGCAACTTAGAACAGTCCTGTTCTATTTACCAAAGCATATACAGCTCAGTCTATATGTCATAATGGACTTTATCATAGAGCGGTTGAAAATTTGTTTTCATTTTTTGCTATAGAAGTTACCTTATTTGCATGTTCTGCAAAGATAATATGTCCGAGTACACGTCACTCAATGAACATCAGTATCCAGACTGTTCGAAATCAGCTGATATGAGTCCAAGGCCAGGTATTCCTTCAACAACACCCTGTGAAGGAGCGAGAAAAACTTCACAAAGGAAAGACACTAAAGACTCTGGTTATGGAGGATGCTCGTCTGAATGTGAGGAGGAGCAGCAACTATTGCCAGATTGGTGTTACCAGTGTTTGCAAAGAGGCGAAGCGAATCAAGATGGTGCATGCAAGGAAGTCGATGATAAAAGGAACTGTGAAAGTGATAATGAGCATAAGAAAAAAGACGCCTCTGAAGAAGGCAAACAAAACCTAAGCAATGTGCAAACTGCCTGGATGACCCGGTTTGAAGATTTGGAACGTCTTGATATCCAAAGTGAGAAATGCCAAAGTTTTAAAAGCAGAAAACCTACTAACGATGACCAAGCTCTAAATCAGAAAATGGCAACCAATGAAACTGGTGAATTGAAGGTATGTTGTTTCTTCATCTTGCCGCTTTTTGGTCCAGTTAAGTGCAATTATGGTCATTTTCTCAAAATCTTAATTTTTAAAAACTAGATTTATATTAGCTGTTTATCTGGACTGATACTCTACCTAGAACGTTATATCAAACATCTCACTAATACGTTCCCTGATGACAGCACTAAGCCTGAAGACGTTCCCTGATGACTTCGGAGGTGCAAATAAGTGCCCTGTTTCGAAGCGTGTACAGATATGCCTTCGAGGTATATAGAGTATTGAGCATCAGACATGAAACCTATGTTTAATTTCATCTGGAATAGAGTATAAACTTGAATCCCCTATATGATCTGCAAGTAAGCGAAAAGTTAACTGGAAGACCTAAGGTCTCGAAGAGAGCAAGTAACATCAGCTTTTGCGTTGGGTACGTTTTCGTGGCAAGTTTTTAGAGGTATTGAGTAGCTTGGCAGGATAAAATCCCCTACATGTTAATTGAAGTGCATGATATTATTTCGAAGAGGTTTCGAACTCCAAAAACTAAACCATTCTGAAATGTTTTTCATTCAAACTTCTTTATTTGTTATTTCGAAAGAGGCAATCTGTAGCTACCAACAACAAAAAGTGAATTTTATTTTTATTTGTTTTCGAAAAGTTTGCTTTCACTTACAACGCACCATGAATGATTTGGTTCGTTTTGATAAAGAGGCTAACTCGACCCGTTCTTATGTAAAAAATTTGACATGGAAATGTTTTAATTTGATTAAGAGTCCCCACGTCTTTTGAAATGCTGTACACATTGAAGCATTTTGTTTGAATTTATTTAATATAAGCTTATTTGTAACTAGCTAATTAAATCTTATAAAACTGACAACTTTGCTCTGCGGCGATAAGATGCATTTAGGTCAGGGACAGAAACAAGTGGCCGTATCAAGGGCACTATTTCCTGCCAGTCAACCGTTCAGAGTCAACAATAGGGTTTGTATCGCGTATATGATCGAGAAAACATCGTTGCTGATTCGATGCGTAGGTCTATTGTGTAGTCCAAGAAATGGGAAATTTAAATGGCCAGCGAAATTTATCGAGACATCGTACCTTTAACCAGATTACATACATCCCGGGGACCTAGCTGAGTGAATCAAACGCTGGAAACATGAAGCATGCAAAAGGTGTTAAGAAATTTATCAAAACAGAAACAATAATTAGTTCTGCTATTTCAAATCAAGATTGCGTTCTCGGTAGGGGATTTTTCAGTTTAGTTTTATTTCTAAAATATTTTCAGAATTTTTGGCTTTTAAAAGCTAAGTTTGAAAGAAACATCCCAAAACAACACCATGAAGCATCCTGAAATGTTTAAAATCAATTAGATTACTAATTGCTTGAGATATGGTCACATTAGCACAGGCTCTTGCCGCATCAAACCACTGTATTTTGGCCGGGTTCTGAAACTTGTGTTGTTTTGGGTTGCCCGGTTGTTTTGAAGAGTTTTTCGACTGGTGGACATTTTCTCAATCACCCGTCAATCTTTGCAAACTCATTAAGTGCTGATGAGGCTGTAGCATCAAAATTTGCGCGCTAATGCCTTAGCTTCTTCAACTTAGTTCTTGCTTTTCAACGTCAATGCCTGTACACAATGCACCCTACGATGTCATATAGTAGACGACCATTTGCGCGACTTTTTTGTAACCCTTTCGCTTCTTGGTGTTTACATAAGAATTGATGTAATTCTTCCTTCACAAGAATCAAACTGTCAACATGTGAGAGCAAACTTGAAAGAGGGGCAGTTGGTAGTTGGGGTGCTAAAAAATTTTCAAAAATTGATGACGAGAGTACGCTGTATGCAAAAACTTCAGAACCTTTTCGGAATAAACAACAAAACTTTTAGGTAATCCTTGAAGCAAATTAACCTGTCGGTCTCAGAAACTTTTCCACCTGATTCTAATTCATCAAAAGGGGTGCACAATTTCCAAAAAAGGGGCGCCGGAATTGCTTCAACTCGTCGAGGAAGGGGCATCTGCCCCTAATTGCCCCCCCCCCTTAAATCTGCCACTGAAACACGTCGAAAGACTTGATTGTGATATCGAGCGAAATTTTCCATTAACGTTTTGCAGCTGTACGACTTTGCAAGAAACATTTACATTAACATACAAATATTCATGTGCAATTATCTAAATAGTTCAATTCAATGTGCTGCTTCAAAACAGCCCATAAACACGTGGAAACATCTGTTCTTTAAATGCGTCTGAATTTTGATTTTTCATTTTCTTTCGCAGCCAAACAAAAGACATCGAAGGATGACACCTATACCACTTTCAAATCCAGTAAAAATAAGTAAGTCAGTATTTTCTTCACTCATTTATGCAGTTTAATGTTGGGCTTACTGGATCTTTCAAGTTTATTCCAGATTTCAGGAAATGTCTCAATCCTCCTCGGGATGAAGCTGTACTCTACTCGCCTTCCTCAAAATTTTTCTTACATCTTTTGTTATCTTTTGTACAAAGGTTTCTTTCGCAGCCGAACAAAAGACATCGAAGGATGACACCTATACCACTTTCAAACCCAGTAAAAATAAGTAAGTCAGTATTTTCTTCACTCATTTATGCAGTTTAATGTTGGGCTTACTGGATCTTTCAAGTTTATTCCAGATTTCAGGAAATGACTCAATCCTCCTCGGGATGAAGCTGTACTCTACTCGCCTTCCTCAAAATTTTTCTTACATCTTTTGTTATCTTTTGTACAAAGGTTTCTTAGAAACGAATTGTAGTAAAATCATATATATGGTTTTGTTACGCATTGGCCTTCCTCAAAACAACTGCATCGTTGTATAACCTTCCTCAGGTTCACAGCCATGGAAGCGTGATATTTTCTGGACGCTGGTTAATTTGTGGCTAGGTGTTAGTTAGGAAAAATACAGTATGTGTGCTGTCTCAAACAGCAGTCACAAAGCCAACTTGAAATTGTGAGTTGCTACACATTGCTACACACTTTGTTTTGTGTTCTTTATACCTCGTTTGGACGGAGTTTCTCAAGCCACAATAAGGCGTCTCACACTATATGGTTACGTGTGTTTAGTGAAAATCGTTCATTCATTTCGCACAAAGATCGTCACAAAAGAATCTCATACCCGATCATCATTGGTTGTCTGTTGTGCATGTAAAGGGGTAACATGTGAAGGGGTAATAATTCGTTCTTTATAAAGCAGCATACAGAGATTTGTACAAAAAAGGTTATATTCATGAATACGGCTTAATTTCCAATATTTTTGCCATTTCTCTTTGTTTTTGAACCCTTAGAAGTCTTTGTCATTTGAAAATTAGGAAATATACAAAGATCGATGTCCCGTGCTGATGAAAATTAATTCTAAATTTGTGAATAATTTTTTGGCGGTACAAGATTTGGAAATGGCTTTGAAAAAGCAAACTTTTTACACGTGACTTTAGCTTTCCGTCTGGCACTGTACAGAGTATGAAAAGAGAGTCTAAGTGATAGTGATGTTGTAAATTTGTCTTTTTTCAAAGCCATTTTCAAATTCGAAATTTTATGCTAGTAGAAAGTCAAAGACACATTTATGATATGTACATATAGTCAAAAATTTAGATTTTCTCAATGTTCATTAAATCTCAATCATACTCGACCTATGGCAACTTAGTTCTGAATTATTCTCTTTAAACTTGGAGCTATCTTTTTCATCAAATGGAGCCATATGATGTACTTTTCAAAGAATTGGAAGAGCGTCTTCTTGAACTGAGATATTGCCTAGCTGCGTGGAGCAGAGTTGACCGGAACTGCGTAATGTTTACCGCTTCGAATAAGACAGCTGATAGCCTAGTCAGCTGATTGCTCATATTTGACGTTTTTGTTATGCAACATTTACGTCTTGTTGTTGAAATATTTTTCTAACATTGAACGTCCACAAGTGTCTCGATGTAAACATAAACTGGGGAATAAAACTAGGCGGAGGTTATGTGGAAGTGTTTTATATAAACCCAATTTTTAAAATCGCTACCCTTTTAATTCGGATTCGGGAAATTCGCCACTTACCCTATTAATGCCAGAAGTCCCTCTTCCCCCCACATTTGATTCTAGAATATTTCCATAATACGTATCAAATATATTTTGAACACATAAGTAGTTGCAGTCAATTCTCGATCTATTCTCAACTCACGCATATAGAAATAGCTGTGTTCTCCCCTTTTTAGCGTATCGAAATTAATTGTATCCTACTCGCTGAAAGCATTATTGAAGAGAAATGCCATTTCCGAGCCACGATAACAAAGAAAATGACGGTAACGTTTACCCGTGTTCCCATCAGAAACGTCAACCGTCAGAAAAAGCCATAAGTGCTTTATTTAGTATGCATCTTTATAGTATATTAAACCATGCTCTTTTCTTTGATTTTATTTATATTTAAACTTTGATTTTAATAGCTTTTAAATATTATTGGAAAAGCATAACAAACAAAACTCAGCTGAAGTAACAAAACTGAAGACGTTTCTGAAATTCTAACTTACATCTGTTCCCTTCTAGATAATTTTTTGAATTTTAAGAAAGAGGCTTCTAGCGGTTATTACAAGCATTTTTTGTAAACAGACACAAACTCGTCAGTTCTGAACTCGATTAATTGCAAAGTTTGATACAAGACTTACTGGTCACTAGATTTTGCTTTTCATAAAATATTTAAAGAATCGTTACTCAGAAATACAGCCCAAGACACCTTAATGTCAAATCTTTTATTTTAAAATCTATTGACAAGGTAACGCTATCAGGTGATATTTCCTTGCCAGCCAAACAGTTATTTCTAGCGAAATGCAATCGCTTCACTGTGTGCTTTGTCTAATAGCTTCGACTACAGGCAGTTTGTCGTGGGAACTGTAACTTCTGATGAAGGCCTGAATGGAATAGCTTTGCATATAACTATCAACAGTCCTAGCAGGTTTCTCTGTCCTTTTGGTTTTTAATGTCTTCTAGATGATTTGCTCGCGCCGTCCTCTGTATCTCCAGCAAAGAATCTTCGATTTTAAGCATTTGTGCAGATTTTCCGATAATCCTGCAGATGTTTTTAGAATCAAGGCATGTTTTTCTGAGTTTCAATATAAAATTCAAGTTCCCATCAAAGATAATCACGATAATCGTACATCCAGTAATTTTTGATAAGTAGGAGAGAAAACCTTCTGTCATGAAACAGCTTTCTTTATCGTCAATTTATCACAATAGGATTGGCTGGATTTCCAAAATGTTTGGTTTTGGAAAAAAATTTCTGATTTGGCAGCCAATGGTCCCTTTGAGTCAGACATCTGTGCATAGATCGATTTTTGAAAGTCTTGAAACGGCACGCTCGATCCTTCACTGTTGCCAATGCAATTGCTCTGGACAAGGAATCAAGCAAATATTTTCTTAATTAACATGTAGATAACAGTATTCTCCAGTGAAGTTGATACTGTTGGGGAACATCAATTTCACTTAATGAAAAAATGAATAGAATTTCAAATAGCGCCTAAAATTGAACTGATCAGCTGAGAATACACAATTGAGAAAAGAAGACGAATATTATTGTTTTAAAAGAGCAGCATTGCCCGCTTATTTGCTATGTCAAAAAGACTTGAGTGTAGAAACTCAAATTTTATTCTTGAAATATGTTGCTAACTAAGTAGGCATTTTATATTCATGACAATACCTTTCGGTAAGAGATTCCAGGCGCATATTAGGACATTCAGTTCTGTTGTGAAGTCAGTGGTCCCTTTCAACCCCCACCCCTCCCCCGGTTTCTACGCCACTGCTCAAACCTTGTCCTTCATCATGCTAGGTCTAGGTCTATGAAATACAAGTTAACAGATAGTGTTATGCGGAAGTACGTAACGATGAATTTGGTATACAATTGAAACCTCATATAGTTTTTTGTTCCTTAATACTGCATTGTGTGATACTTTCTCTTAATTTAGATACAATATATCAGTATGCGGTTGCAAAAGAAAACCGCAAGAAAGCAAATCAAAATTTGTTGGTTCTTTATCTTAAAACATTTTCTATTGATCTTTTTCGGTGCCAAGTTTACTTAAATTTCATCAATTCTCCTTTCTTGTTCAAGGCCTTGCTTCGAGACCTGATTGTTTGTTTGTCGAAGAAGAAGACATGGAAGACTTGACCAATTTTGATACAGATAACGATTTCGTTTATCAAGGACTCTTCCAGCTTTCAACTGTGAGTGAAACTCACCTACAGTATTCTGTAAATGTTGAGTCTAAAGCAACATAGAGCAAAAATGTTTTTTATGCGGGCACATGCTGACATGTTTCCCTTCTGGGATGTTTTTGTCTGGAGGAAGGTTATCAACTTTTCTGGACTCTGTTTATACGTTGCATTTTGGCGCTAATTTTTCATAAATGTTGCCAAGAGAAAGTTTACCGAAATAATGCTGCAAACGCGCAACAGCCCTGCGGCGATAATATTTCGCAAGGAAAAGAAAATGTATCAAACCTTCACGAGAGAGGTGATGTCAAAACCAATTTATTGTTATCTTCAAGAAACTTTGAAAATTTGAGACAATTTGTGAAAGCTTAGCATATTGAGATTAATACTCAGCAGTGTTAAAATAGATGCACATTTTGTTTGAGATATGCTTGAAGAATTCCTTTTTTTAAGTTTTTCAGATTCGATCGATGCAAGCTATTGGAAGTTTAAAAACGCTATTGGGAGATTTTATTAACTTTTAACTGCACCTTCGTTCGTTCATAATTATGCTGTCAGCTGAAACTATTCAAAGTAAATTCGGTCCTTAAATTGCTTAGCAATAGCAAGCAAAAGTCAGTAGATGTCACAGCGCTCAACTTGTTGTCATAGAAACTTATTGATTTGCCTTCAACAAAAGATTACGATTGAACAGTCTGTTCTAGAAAGTAGCAAAACGGTATTTTGCTTTTTGGAAATATTTAATGAGGTTTTCCATCGGTAGATATACCTCCAGCATGCTTGCAATTAAATTGTGTCACCGGCTCTCTCTGATGTAGGATTACTCATCCGTTTGTCTTTCAGAGTCCCAGAAGCAGTCCAAAGCAGCTAAAAAAATCAATCAAGTCTAAAGCAGGTACTGTCAAATTTTCATTTTAAAGCTAGGAAAAAGTTTGTTTTTTAATGATTTCTGAAATCTGAGCTCCTAAAGTTGGAAATCAAATCAATGAACATGTCTGAATGTTAAGAGTGGAACGCAGAAGAAAGTTTTCTCGCACTCTTGCCGAACTGATAGAAATGATGGCCATTTACAAAGATCTTGATCCTGTACGCATCATGAAATGCTCGGAAAATACACTTACATTCTCCCACATAAGTTATGTCTTGCTGATTCCAATAACAATTGCATGACCAAAGGAAAACATTGTAGGACCTATAAGATCAGATTCTAAGACCTCTTTTCGGATTTGCACAGTTGTCCTAATTAATGTTTAGGGCTAGAGAAATGTTTTTTAAGAAGGGTTTTCAGACATTGCGTATCTGATCTTCCTGTTTTTCAAATTAACCTATTAAGTTGTGAAGAAAGTTATGCTTACCTGCTGAAACAAATAATTTGCGTGTTAACCATGGCACACTGTCTTTGACAGCATTGTTTTCACTATTCTGGCTGTCAGCTAAAAGTTGATACGACACAGCTTGTTATATGGCAACAACATTGTCAACTTACTTGCTTGATCATAAAAAAATCGTAGCACTATAAAAAGGAAAATTAACAAGTGCTGGGGATGCAGTTCATGGCTAAAGGCTGATTTCCATTTGAAATTTTTTGTGCGCGCGGGCGTAGCGTCCAAATCTGAGCACGCGGAGTGATTATGCGTCCGCTGTGAGCGCCAGAAAGTTCACAGGGTCTCAACTTTTTGTGCGCTCGGCCAATTGACAGCAGCACTTAACTCCGCATGCTCAGATTTGGGCGCTACGCCCGCGCGCACAAAAAATGTCAAATGGAAATCGGCCTTAACAGATAACTTTGAAAAACGCAGGTACTTTACGCTAGACCAATATCTTAGTCATCCTCTTTTTCAATGGACCAGTGAGCGTCTACTAAAAATCAACAGTTGTTCTAATGATAGAGGTTTATGTAGATACAAGATGACGAATTATTACACCTTAAACACACTATGTAAGAAATAAATTTTCAAAATTGGAAACCGTTCTGCCTTTTGCTGAAAATTTGTAAAGACTATGATGTCACGGGTTGCAATTGATAGAACCATTTGCGATGCTTCAGCAGAAGAAAGAAGATAGAAGTTATGAAGGTCTTAGTAAGGACCTGATGTTGTTAGAATCTCACACTTGCATCTCCATATCACAAGCCAAGCTGTAAATCGTCTTCATTAATTTTTTTGTAATTTTGAAAGGTCAGAAAACCTGCAAGTCATTGTATGAAAATCGATAACACCCACCCCTTCTCATATACGCAATTTATTTTTTTAGAAAGCACTTCCTAATAGATAGGAAGTTATAAGAAACTAATTTTTTAAATGCCCCCTTATATATCGATAGGATTTCATCAGGTATTGAACTACGCAACTAAAATTTGATGTAAATCTATATTTAGCAGTATAAATTGTTACGTAAAAACAACATTAAAAGCTTCATAGTCTCAAATCATTCAAAAGATAAGAACATCGAACCTTGGCAAAAGTGAAATGGTAAGGAGAGAGTATTATAGGTACTTCAGCAGTCCAGCTGTTGTGTTAGCCTCTCTGAAGGAGACAACTCCTCGTTTACGAATTCTGGCTACTGTTTGCATTTATGTTAAACAAAGCAGCTGTTTAGAAGCAATTTGAAGCGTCTTTCGTGCAGTGTTTCACAAAATGGATGGCAAAGAGGATACCGAAGTATCAAAAACAGCCTCTCAAACAAGTTTTGATGAAGTGCCGAATTCTGAGCAATTTGCTTTTGTGTCAGAAAGACAAGAAGTGACAGTTGTTGAAAAGAACAGTGACTTGTCCTCAGGTAATCAACGGATACATCATTTAGTCGAATATTTTCTTAAAGAATTGATTGTTTCAGTTGGTTGCGATAATGTAGCAAACCAATACAGGATATCGAAACACAATTTGCTGTGCACTCCTCAAAGAATTACCATGGTAATGACAAATTTCTAGTATAAAATGTTTATCAATAATTTTTTATAATGGCTCTTCATTTATAAGGCTCTTCATGTTGAATGCCATCTTTTCAAGTTATTTTCAAACATGACCGATGCAGAAATTCATGGAATAATTCCTAGTTCAATCTTAAGTTTTCCTCAAGGTTGAAATTCTTTCGCCGAAAAATGTATTTTGAAATTCTTTGATGTATTTTTACCTGATGTATTTGATGATTTTTATATGATAAAACTAACTACCAGTTAGACTGCTTTAGCTGCAATGTATCCAAGTGTACGCATGAAACATATGTATGACGACATAAACACGAACTGGAAAATTTATCACTAAAATCTTATATTTTTACCTTGAAGTAAAAGACAAAATTCCAAAAAACAAAATGACTCGGAAAATTTGCTACTGGGTCTCTCCAATGCTTTAAACGCGCAATTTTCATAATTACTAAGGTCGATAAACACGCTTTATCTAGCTCAGATAAGAAGTGAGGGAGAATATTATTTTTTAAGTTACTTCTAGCCAATAATTAAATGGCTGTTGACAGAATTGAAAAGACCCAAAATCAGCTTGTTTCTTTGTCTTAAGTAGCTTATCTTCTTGATTTGTCATATAAATATATTTATATTTTTTGTTTTATCTAATATCTGACTATGATCATGTATATTCACTTGCTACAGGAGCAAGTCCTGAAAGAAACTCCCCTACGACGACCCCTGAACTTCCAAGGTTGTACATGCGAAGCAGAAGTGAGAACGATGCTTGCCTCTTGTCAAACAGGACGTCGAGAAGGAGCCAGTTGTCAAGTGAGTACATAGACAACGTTAAAAGTCATCAGCTGTTGCCATGGGGATAACTACTTGCCATTCCAACGAGCGGCCTCGCTCGAAATCTTTCAAATCAAATGAACAGGAATGAACTGTCTAAGTATTTGATTGTTACAATCTTCTGTAGACGAGCGGGATAGTATTTCTCTGAATATCTTTATTAGATACAAAACTCACACAAACACAGAAATATCAATAAGTTCAACAGATCAATAAACTGGCGAAGCGATGCAGCAGTAAAAATCTACTTATAAAGTTTCTGAAGTATAATGACAGCTTAGAAAAACTTAGTTGAGACAGAAACCAACTTTATCCTTTCCTTGGTTTTCAAAACATGTAGTAAGTAGCTAAAAACTTGTAAAATAAATGCTGGATGGAGTGGCTAGGTGTAATAAGTTTGAAGGATAAGAACGTTAATTTAAATTATTTGACCAACCTCATAATATGTTTGAATTTCCAAGGCTGTATCTAAATAGCTTTATCTGAATACGTTTTGCTATTGTCATCAGTTTTGGAGATTTTCGAGATTTTCTCACGCCTCCTAATAGATCACCTGTTTGACATTATTATTTTTATTATTATTATTATTATTATTATTGTCTTTGCAGGGATTGAAAGTGAAGGTGAAGAATATTTTAGAGAGCACATTGACAGAGAGGTCAGAATAAAATGTATTGGGTATCTTAATTTAAATATCCTTTTGATACTAAGTGAGGTCAGCAGACAGATTCTTCTCACGCATGAATTAATCAACTGGATGGGGATAGTTCAAGCAAGATACATAATTCTAGTCTGCACTCATTTTTGAAGGTCGAAAGTAATAGTCTGCACTCATGAAAAAAGGTCAAAAGTTAGTACTCCTGTTTTTAACGTTGCATAAAATTTCGTTTGATGGAAGTTCTTAATTTTAATGTAATTAATTTTACCATGATGAAATTTTTAGAATTTTCGCTATTTGCGTCTAAAGTTTTATGCTCTTTCAAAATTCAATCCATTCTTAGTTGTTCTGCTTAGAGTACTGAAGTATTTTTTCGGAATACCCAGTACTCAGTTCTTTTATAGCAAGTTGCTTGTACAAAGAATGAGTTTAGTTACCAAAACTATTGTTACGCGAGTTAGCCAGTTTCGCTGTAGCATTTTTCCATTGCTGCGGTTCTTGACCTTATGTGTTATAGGCTATGTTTTACCTGTACCTTATCTCAAAACCAATAGGATCGTGTTTGCTGTTTGCCCTTAAAGAAGTGGAGGTATTTTGTATTGATTTAAAATTCCATTGCTTGCTCGCAAGTTAATTGCGAGAGATACAAAGTTGTAGTGTTTCTGGCTCTGATGCCAGAACCATTTTGTAGCTCCTCTTTAATTCCAATGCAAACATTTTCTTTTTCTTTGTACAAGTTGGGTTTTGATTTTATCCAGATGACCAAAATTCAATTTTAATATTCAAAATAGTATTTACATGGGAAAATTTTGTGGTGCAGCCATGATCGTGGAGTTTAATCTGCTCTTTGTGTGTATGCACAAATTTAAATCCAACAGATTAAAACATGACTTAGTCTTTAAAACTGACCATAAAAGTATAAAGTCAACAGTTTTTCAACGCCGCTCGGAAGTTGTTTGTGACAGCCAAACATAATGAATTATTTACATCTGGCTTCGATTTTTTGGCAGTTTTCTTTAATAACCTAGCATCCTTAACCGTTTCTAAAAGCATTTCTGTTAAAACGAGCATTTTTTTAATCTTGTTACGACTTTCCTTTAAACTCTACTCAGTATTCGAGTTGGCTCGTTTTTTGAGACGAAAATTATACTTACCCTGATGATGAGATGCTATGCAAACCCAACGGACTGCAGTTGCTACTGTTGTCTGATCTGGGTCAAGACAAACAGCAATTTTTTCAAAATGAATCTCTGCTTTTTTTTGTTTCTCTTTGATCTCAACATCTCCATGTAAGGCAGAGCAATCTTTTCTACTCATCTGGTCTCCTCCGACTATTTTCTTTGCACTATCCAATACCAATTGAGGCTAAAACTTCGCCAGTCTTATTAATGGACTGCGAACTTCTAATGGAGAGTAGATCGACATGCTATTAACTTTAAAATAGCCCCACCCTCCTTACCTACACTGTTTACTCGTACAATTGCGCAAATTATCACGTGGTTTTTAAGGCTCCATCAGATTCAGTTTTCTGCAAAATAAGATTAGTCTACTCATGAAGGGTAACCACAAGTCTTTTATTTATTATTTTGATTTTCAATTTGGTAAATGCCTTGTTTGAGGTAATTCTAAATGCAACGATTGACTTTCATGCTAAGATCTTTTGACGACATTTCTAGCAATTTGCAGGTGTGTCCATCAACAGCAGTTTAAAGTCATACACGAATTTATTGTCTGAGCTTCTTTATCTCCATAAGCTGCAGGGTCTTGCTGTAGCAAGTTTCTCATACCATACTGTGTTGTGTACGCTTGACAAGAAGCCTTAGTAAACCGTTGTTTTCTTCGTTGTAGCTGTTTGGCATGTCGGAATCTGATTTCAAGAGTAAAGGTATGTTATAATTTTGACTAAAATTTTGCTGTTGAAACTCTTTAAAAAATTGTTTAAATTATAGAAATATACGGAATTATTTTAGAAATTTTAGATTCTTTTAAAGAAAAAAGGCAACAGGCATCAATTTGAGTGACAGAAACTCTTGGAGTATTTCACACGAAAACGACCTATAAGCAGCGAGGTGCCAGGCTGAATTGGTCCAGATTTAAGACTTCCTCTCAAAATATAACCGTTATTATAGTGTAGCTGAACCAATTCTTGTGATTTTTGAATAGTTATATTAAATCATTTGATTCTCAGAACGTTCATTGCATTATGAAATGTTCCAAGGAGACAATGCTGATATTTGATGAACATGTTTTCAAACTTATTCTCTCTAAGTCTCATACCGGATTATGAATATGCTGTAAGCAATTAAGGTACTTAAGATGACACTTTTCGAAACATATTTTATTCCAGCTCTACCTTTCATTCCTCTGCAAGCCTTAGAGACTGACACAAAGCGATTAGTTTTCCTGGAACAAGCCCGAAGATATCTCGGAATCTCGTGAATCTAAAAAAGTAATTGTAGAACTAGACCAAAAAAGTAACCTGAGCAACCTTTCTCTAAAAATATATTATTGAGATTCCGATTGATATGATTATAAGGGGAACATGCAATCCATCTTCAATCGTCTTTGGTCCTGTTGACGAGGAGCTGAGAAAATATTGTCAAAGCAAAAATGATAGTTCAATTGGCAAATGACCAGTTTGGTTTGCTACAAAGTTTTGAATACTGGAAGGAGAATTCTTGCCTGCAAATGCTTTATATCTCCCTACAGATTTTAAAATAGGCCCCCTCGCATATGAGACCACTTTCCACACTTTCCTTCATTAAAAAATATTCCGTTGAATCAGAATCGGCTATGATAGGAATTTTCGCAATAGGTACGAGTTTTCCATGTTTATGCACTTAATAGTCCTAATCTAGGATTTTGTTATTAAGTCTAATCGATGTAAGGACGAGATTAGGTATACCTAATCATATTTGGTCTCCCAAAATTAATTTAAATTTTCCACTAATGGAAACATCACTGCACATGTGAATATGAAATATAAATTCGAAAAGCCACCATACATTCCTTTTGACATCTGATTTCCTGCTTTCTTTTAATTGCCGATATTTCTTTGTGTATTGTACAAGAATAATCAATTATTTGACTACCTATGTATGCATTTTTATTAAAATTAATAGCAAGCCTGCTCGAAAGTCTTCTTCGGTTCTGGATCTGCCTGATTATCGTTAACTATTATCAATTTGCCCAAAATTACTTTCGCCAATAGATTTTTTCTCTGTCTGTTCAAAGCAATTTGTAATTTCATACCTCCAGACGCCACAAGTCTTATGACATTTCTCCTTTCTCCTCCAATTTGTCTTAGAAGGTCCTAAATTATTAGCCTTGGATCTTCTTTAGATTTAAAATCAGATTTACAGAATGTGTGTAGGAAGAAAAGTTATGAATATAAATTTTTGTCTTTTTATTAACTTGTTGTAATAAATATCTGTTTTGACCTTAGGTAGAATGTCAACAAATGAAATACCCCACATAGAATTAGAGCCTGCTGCCTCGTTACCAGATTGGATGAAGGAGGCTAAAGCGGAGGATATAAGTATCGAATTATCCACCGAGGAAAGCACTAAAAATGACAGTAAGGGATCATGTGACACTGAAAAGCAACCGGAGCCAAGTGTTAGAATGGTACCTATTAAACCGTCAATATCTTTATTTCATTGCTTCAAAACAGCACTGCTCGTCAACATCTTTTGCAATCACTTGATTCGCTGCTTCCAATGACAGCGCCTGTCTTTTTGTTCTTACAATTTTATTTGTTCTGGTATATGAAAGTGATAATAATGAAATTAATTATACAAATATGCTTTAAAGGCAGTCAACGTATATTGAGTTGGCTTAAGACATTTGTCAGTCAATATTTAGGCTGATTTTGACAAGGCGTGTTTTGCCACGAAATCGTTGTCAAGTTTTATTTGATTTTCACGAGACTTTGAATTTACTGCAAAGCTATTTTTTGTTTCCATTTCATTTGGTGTCCTCGTGAAAATCGGCCTTTTAGCAAATCACGGAGCGTACAAGTGGTATCACGCTCATTGATTCGTCAATTGTTGATTCAAAGATGGCTTACGAACTCTAGTATCGTCGATTGCCTTTGAAAGCTAACAAAAATTTTAAAATTTACGTTGCTCTAGCTGCTCCCTCCCAATCTATAAACAGTAGACATCATCGACGTTTCATGGCTCAGAGACACATCTGTTTTGATTGACGTTGTAATAAACATTTATTTTTAATTGAATGTGTATATTCTACCGATCGGATGCTCAATAAACCTCATTTGACTACCTGGAAAAATGTTTTTTTAGAGAAATAAGGACATGCGATCATCATGGAAATCAACAAAACAGTCAGGTAATTTTTTTACGTTTTTCAGTATAATTTTTTGACGAATGTTGTCTATGGTGAATATTATTAAGTTTAGAAAATAAAATGGGCACGAGCAACAGAAAGTGTGCAGATTCCAGTCTTACTTCCAACAATACTATCAAAATTAAGTGTTAAATGAAAAGTATGAAAATACTATCTGGAACCAGCTTAACATCAAGAGTTTGACAATCCTATCTGAAAAAAGTATTCAAATTAAGAGTATGACAAGCCTATCTGAAACAGGTTTAATTTTAAGAGTATTAAAATACTGTTGGAAACAAGTTTTAGGTTTAAAATATGAAAACTGCTGTCTGAAAAGGTTTTGAATTCAATTTTTTTCCTCAAGCCAGCTAATCAGAGCCAATTGCGACACATTGTCTTACTTTTCCTTAGAAAGAGAAAAATGTGCACGTCTTATATTTTAGAGTGAGCCAGCTCCTTTCTCCAAAAAACTCTTGCGCGGAATTTATATATTGTCTTTAGGGATGCATGTCATTTTGAAAGGTGCCAGTTTGTTTTACACTCAAAATGATCCTGCACCATTCTCGTGTTCTTGTTGGCCTTTACAAATGAGCCTGAACGTTTAGCAGCAAATTCTGAAAATTTCTACGATATTCACAAAAATCTATCAAAACTTCATGCTCGTTTTTCTGTGATGCATGTTACCACGAAGGAAGCCTGATCTCCAATAAACTCTTGATTTAAAGGTCATATCCGTGTAAAATTTTACTTTTAGGAAATATAGATGAAGACGTAATCAAAATATACACGCCACAAAAACACTATGAGGTACGTTTGTATTTTTCAGATGTTTTACAGTTGACGATGGCTATTTACATTCAATGAATTGAATAAACTGTTATTCTTTGATAGCAGAGAATATTTTTTCTTGGATGTGCTTCATCCCTTGCGAAACACCGCAATCGTATAAGAAAAGCATGTCATTTGAAATAACTTTTTAAATCAGTTATTAAAGCTAGTACCTCTTTGATCTAAACAAGACTGTCAAGTACACAGTGGTCGTGAAAAAACGTTCAACTTATGAGCTTTCTTTTAAGAACATGGCATTATGATAACCTGCATCTTTATACTCTACTTGACTTTACACTAGGTAGGTACGTTCATGTTGAAAATACTATGACCTTTGTTGCTTTGTGTTTGGCTCACCATTAAAGGAATGAAAGACCTGTGCCGTGAATAATGATTTAGATTCAAAGCTGTTAGTTCTAATCGACTGGTGTGTTTCCTTCGTGACATAACTAGATGACGACATTATGATCTATGTTAATGCCATTATCATTTATGGCCTTTTTAGGGACAGAAGCCCAAGAGAAGCCGGAAGTTGACACCTGCAAGAGCAACTAGTCCTTCTTTAGGTACGTTCGCAATCAAAGTGCAATCTAGTTCTCTTAGTTTTCAAGCCCTCCTTTGCAATCAACCCCTCTTTTCTACTAGAAATTTGAAATAAGATTCCCGTTGAGGTGAAATAAGGTTTCATTTTTATTTCCGAAACATATTTTATTCCAGCTCTACCTTTCATTCCTCTGCAAGCCTTAGAGACTGACACAAAGCGATTAGTTTTCCTGGAACAAGCCCGAAGATATCTCGGAATCTCATGAATCTAGAAAAGTAATTGTAGAACTAGACCAAAAAAGTAACCTGAGCAACCTTACTAAAAAATATATGATTGAGATTCCGATTGATATGACTATATGGGGAACATGCAATCTATCTTCAATCGTCTTTGGTCCTGTTGACGAGGAGCTGAGAAAACATTGTCAAAGCAAAAATGATAGTTCAATTGGTAAATGACCAGTTTGGTTTGCGACAAAGTTTTGAATACTGGAAAGAGAATTCTTGCCTGCAAAGGTTTTATATCTCCCTACAGATTTTATAATAGGCCCCCTCGCATATGATACCACTTAAGCCCCCGGGGGTCTTGGTGCCGCTTTAACGGTAATTCACCTGACAACGCGATGTTTTCTACTGCATACATAAAGAGCTTAAATGCATCTTCCATTATAAACTAAAAAAGCAGGACAAACATCATGTCAATTTCCCAAATTGTAGCTCTATCTAATACAAAGACAGTTGATATTATTTCTCGAATGATACTCAAAGTAGATACCATTTACAAAATAATTATTTATATTGTTATATTACATCAAGGATTTACATTTTTATCCATTATTTAATCTACTTGCAGAAAAACTTGCTGACTTGCAGAGTCAGGTATTTGCGTTTACACTGGCAGAAAACGACAGTGACTAAAGCATTAATACTCAAGACGATGTTCGTTGATTTAAAAATGAAATTTAGAAATATGGGTCACGTATACAAACAACTAATGAAATATGTATCAAAGAAAACATTATTAACTACATTAGATGCAGAGATGTGTAAAAATTATCTATGGTTGTTGGGTCTTAGTGATTCGGCAGATTTGTAAACTCGAGCAAGACTTTCTGTTGATGAAAGGCAATGTTGCTGATATCTTCTTCATACAAGGCTGCCGCCCGCTAAGAGACGGAGAGAGGTACTGGTTGAAATCTTGGATGTACTCATAAATGAAAGTACTCAAAGCCGGCTTGTTAGTACGTTGTTGTTTCTCGGAATTCCACTACGAAAGACTAACGATAGACAGCTTAAATTTTGACCATTACGTTGGCAAAAGTACTTCAAGTCAGGAAGGATGTTCTATCAAGTAGGACCTACGTATTTCTCTAATCTAAACCCCTTCCCCCTTACTTCTATCTTTCTGTCGTTTTTGTTTGTAAATGTATTGCAGGCATCGGCATACAAAACCTAACAGCAATGATCATTGTTAAATAAACATGTTAATAATTAACATGTTGTTAGAATTTCATTGATTTTGATTTAAGATACGACTGGCAGCGGGCAGCCGTGTACCGCAGCCTTGTTATATAGACGTTTAGTACAAGCTGAATGAGTTCAGATTTTTCTCCCCTTCGGATAGTGTCTTATTGCATCAAACCAGGTTAAAGTTATTCTTTTGCTTTAATTTTTTTCCGCTAACTAACTCCATATGATGCTCTTGTGACTATGGGAAGACCCGGAACGTGATTGACAAATCTGATTTGGTGGACAGTTTTACGAACTTCTTGAAAGGCTCACCTGTATCGGTATGGAGTAAATCTTTCAATTTCTTGACCCTCCTATGGTCTTTTTTTATTGTCAGTAACTTGATATGTTTAGCAAATTAGGTCTTATCAGTAGTCAAGCAGTTGCAAACGCGCTCAAAATCAGTTACTATTTAAGTAAGCCCTTCAAAGACAAGAGAACACTCAAATGAAATACTACATCGTATTGTGGATATGTTTTTAACGTTGTTGAAATGATTCAAATTAAATATTTAAATCAAGTTGAAGAAATAAATGTATAGTTGTTGAAATTAAATCCAGTTTGAGAGCTGGTTGGGGACTTAGTTGAGCTCCTTACGATTGGAGATTACATATTCGTTTAAAGCGAGACTGTCCAACTTCTTTCTATCGTTATCGATTTATTTTCTATGACTTGGTACGAAAATATTCTCAGAGGCTCCACAGAACTTCTATTCAATGAGATCGGCTTGAAACAGTTCACGTGAATGCTTCTGATACTTCTTAATTCAAACTTGATGTGCTTCTGGTGTTTAGGTGTTTTAGGGCTACGTTATATGAGCGAATTTTTACGAAATGAGGAATTTTCAGGAAATATTCAGGCAGAGAAAAGGATGAGACATCAACAAAACAAGCTGTATTTCAGTGAATTCCCTAGATTATCCCTCTATAACGTTGTCAGAAACCAGCCTAGACAACTCTCGAGAGATGTCATCTTTAGATTGAGACGTAACATCAATTGAATAGGATCTCTTCTCTTGAGGCCCCGTGGGTCCTTATACTAAGAGGTTGCCATTGTTATTTCTTGTCTCTATTGTTTTGTAAATATGGCATCTCAAAATGTGTAAATCAAAGTTAATCTAGGGCTGCACGTGGCTGAAGTTCAAGCAGCAAGTGATAGATGGGAAAGATACTTTCATTATGAATAAAGCAGAAGAAGGCAAGGTAAGAGCTTGATACAATCGAATCTCCGACTTGTCCTTCTCCACACTGAAAAACAGCGTGACATATTGAGGTAGTTAGTATTCACAACACTTATATGCTAATAGGCCAGTGCCAATGGTCTTGTGTTTCTTTTCCTATAATATTTTTTAACATTTACTTCTGCATTGTCTAGCAACCAACAATGATAAAATTCAGCGAATTGACAGGGTTTTAAAGACTCTACAAGAATAGGTTTGATAGCTAACATTTTACGTTTGTTTCTAATGGATATGTTTTTAGGGCTTTTGTGCTTCTATTATGAAAACTGGCATCGTCAAATCTCTGACCAGTACAAAGATATGTATGGGAAGCTTCTTGTTGCTAGAAAGACTGTTGTCCCTACAAATTTCAAAGGACTAGCACCCCTTAAAGCCCAGTTTAACATCCCCAAAGTCTAACTTTTAATAACCTTGCTTCAATCCTGCAGAGCTTGACGAACAAACAAAAAAACAGGGAGGTTTGGCCAAAACAGGAATAAAACCGGATTTTTTTGGACTTAATTAACAACATACCTGTGAAACTTTGTGCCAAGCAGTTGATGACAAAAATTATAAAACAATTCTAAAATAAATTTCAATGTTTTTTTTTTAATTTATAAGCACTAAAAAAAATTTAAACATGAAATTCATTTTAATCATTTTATTGAAATGACTCTGCTAAATGAAAAGGTAGACACCAGGGTAAAATTAAAAGGTATGAGAAAACAAGCTTTTCAAAATTGTTTTAATAAGAAACCAAAGAGTAATTGCTGATAATAATTAACCTATCACTCTTTGAAATAGGCCCAAAAAATCCTACCAAGCAGTGACAAAGAATCCAGAATAACAAAAACAAAGAAACAACTTAAATCTTTCAAAGGACACTCATCTATTGAAAAAAAACATTTTCTTGTTAGTCAAAAATAATTAAACTGTCGCCATCTAGCTTTCACTGTAGCCTGTCCAGTCTGATGGGGGTGTAAGATAAACTCTCTTTCCATTATGAACAAAGCTCACAATCCCTTTATAGGCAGTTCTAGGCACACCAGCTTTTAAATCAGTCATCAGCCCAAATTTTCTTGCTAATGATTCAACTTCAGTATTTGAACTATATTGTATTCTCACTGCATTTTCAACTATAGAGTCATTCAAAACGTCATCAGCACTCACAGGTCGTTTTTTGTATACTCTTGAAACAAAATCCTTGTCATAGTTAAATTTCAAAAGATATGATAAATCTGCTTTTCTGAATGCAAAGAATTCATCATTTAACTGAATGTACTTCAAATACTGGTCATAGAACTGTCCTTGACTGACACCAACCCTACCAAATGTTTTGCTTCTGCTGATTTCCGGCCTTATACAAGCCCTGTTTTTTCTTTGATGAGGATCCCGTATCCAGTCATCCCAGAATCCAAGAGGCCATTTTGGCTCTAATTCTTCCCAGAATTTCCTAGTTAGCAACCAACCAAGTCCAGGGAAAAAGTCACTGCGATAAAGAAGTTCATGGTCTTTTACAAACCCTTCTTTTCCATTATCATTCCATGCAGAAACACAGAATAGTGACTTGTCCATGTCCAGCAGAGGTCTTGTTGCCATGAAATATTCAAAGAAATCAGGAGCTAAAATATGACAGGTAAAGTTAAAGTTAGTGAAACAAAAATGGACACACATATTTGATAATACTTAAAAGCCAGTTACAGAAAATAGCAAATGATTTTTCAAGGCTTTGATTTAGTAGTTATCAGTAATGGCATAATTTGATTTTTAAAATAGCTATTTTTAGACTACAAAACCAAAATAAACATTTTCCTTTTAGTTATTTTCTTGAAATGAAAGCAAATAAAGCAAGGATTACTGTACTAAGACAATTTGAAACATTAACAGAAAATCCTTGTTAACGTTTGGAAGGTGATGATTAAAAAAGTCATCTTGCTTATATCATTCTAGAAATGATAAATTTGGTCTTGAAATATGTCAAGGGGTTTCATTTGAATTTTGTTACCAATTTTGCACAAATGCAATTTCATTTCTCTTTGTTATGCATATATTATGCATATATAGCTTTGTTTCCTCTGCAATACATAGCATGTCCATTTAAATAACATTAAAATGAAAAAAAGACATGTCACATTCTGTAAAAGCATGATTGTTTATGAAATTTGTCTGTCAATAGCTTGATCTTGAGATATAATTTTTCTCCTTAGATAGAATTTTGTTATCACTCTTTAACTCTTCAACAACCAGAGGGGTTTCTTGGTAACTATTGATCAAAACAAGGAGGAAATAAAATGTTCAATACATTTCCTCCAAACTTCTTGATCAACAAATGAATAAAAAATTTATACACCTTTTGGTATTTCATTCTGCAATTTTTGAATTTTTTTGAAGTCAAAAATGCTTTGAAAGGCAAACAATTTTGCAATTGAGTACCGAAGTGTGACATCATAAAAAATCTCTTTTTAGAATTTCTTAAATTTGACCACATTATCTGAAAGAGCAGCATGAAATACCTCGCAATATGCAAAATCAGTTAGATATGCTCAACATTGTGCGAGATAAGGCCAATAGAAGGTTTAAAGTTTGCTAACCGATTACTGTTAATTTGGCCTGGTTCATAAAGTTATGAACCAAGACCAAAATACAGAGGTTTGACGGGGCAAAAGCCTGTGCTCAAATGGCCATATCTCAGCCAATTTGTAATGCTTTAAACTGAATTTGCAAATTTAGGGGTATTTCACCATGCTCTTTCAGGTTTTGGGATCAAAATTAAAGTTTCTAAAAATAGATTTTTATGATGTCATCACTTTGGTACTCTATATCTAAAGGTTCTCTTCTTCTAGCAACATAGCCTTATTGAACAATCAATTGTATTTTTCCAATAGATTAGTAATTTGGGAAACATGTGAAAATTTTAACTTAATGCCTTCATAGTTTGGCGAGTTGCCCAACATTTTGAAGTCAACACGAAAGCATTTCAAACACATTTCAAATAATAATTTCTAAAATGAAATGAAGGCATTCATCTTTTCTAAAAAAACATTTTAGCAATAAATAGCTAGTAAATAATAATTGTAGCCTTTGCTCACCTATATCTAAGTCATCTTCGATTATGATGACACTGTCAATGCTTGGTTCTTTGAATGCTTGCTTCAAAGCAAATTTGTAATGCCTTGATATCTTGTAATATCCCATAAAATGTCTCATGTGACCTGGAACTCCAACAACATCTGAAAAATCCGGCTGCTTTACTAACTTAAGTTTTTGTCCGTATGATTTGATGACATTTTCTGTCTGAACATCGCCACAGTCTTGACTAACAATGACTGGCATGTCAACATGTTTGGGCTTGTGTCTGAATATTTGGTCCAAGCACTGTCTAACACTTGGTCTGTTGCAAGCAATAACTAATATTGCAGTTCTGTATTTAAATTCTTTTTGCTGTAGTTGAACATTCTTGTTTCCATTTAAAAGCTTGTCGGTGCCATCTTTGTTACTCTTAACAACTTCATCAACAGCTTTCGTGTAAACTTTTATTTTCGCTTGTTTCCCCTCAATCTCATAATTTTTTGGGTTATTGTGCACATCGTGATTATCCTTTAGAATCCATCTTCCCTGGCTACCTTCGTCGGTGTTCGAATCGCGGAAAGCATAGGTTCGCGAAGAAAATTTAACGGGTTGAATCCCATTTGTATTTGGATGACCCCAATTTTTAAACAACAAAATATTACCTACAAGAAAAACAGTCACCATACAACTTATTAAAAACCACTTCAATGATAGTCTAGGCCTCCAAAATAATGACATTGTGGGTCAACATCACCGGTTGCCGTCCCTACTCGCCATCCCTCTGGTCAGCCATCTTGTTGAAGACCTTTTTATGCACGAAACTCGTTGAGTTGCATTAATCCTGATCAGTGTGAACACGTCATGAATGATGACGACTCCGGTACGGCTCCAAGGAAGGAAAGGAGAAACAACAAAAGCAAAGGGAGAAAAAACGTGTAAAGTTCACATTGCCTTTCTCCCACTTTTCATGTTATTGTGCTGTTTTTCTTTATAAACATAGTCGAGATTTAAACATCTCTGACTGATAGTGACGGCGCCAGAGCCAACAGGCTTTTTAAGTAGGGGAGGGGCAAAATAAATTTTTTTAGGCCACGTCCTTTTTACTGTCAGAAAAGCCCTTTTACCAACAGAGAACGCCTATTTAGCATCTCTAATTATTGGTTACATGAAGGCAGTTTCAAAATCATAGAGGTTCATCTAAAATAATACTTTGCAAACCAAACAAAATTGGGCTTGTCGACAAATTTATAGATTTTAAGTTTATCATGTATTGCTCCAATGCTCCAATATTCTAGTAGCGATAGACCAGCTCATGCATATTATATTATGTTCTCCATTCCTGTGAAAAAAATTGTCTGTGTATTCTCAAATAGTTTGGCCACGTTGTTTTATATATTACCAACTGTCACGCCTTAGGAACAACATTTTTTGGTTAATGTATGTTGTCATCGTTTCAGGTCACGTGTACACTAAATGGCAATAGCATGACTAAGACTACCACACACACTGAAAATACTTGAATGTGGACAATACCACAGAATAGTTCTAAATTTTGAAAATGGATTCAAAACACACCAAGTTTATTGATACTTGGATTGTTGTTGTTTAATCTTGGCTTTGAGATGTACAACTGGGAAGGATCCTGTGCTCCTTTAGTTATCCCATCTGTCTTTCATAAGTAGTATGATTTTCAAAACACTCATTCAAACTATATAAGCCAAATTCAAAACATATTATGAGGGTAAAAGAACAAAGTTTTCAAATTTTCAGGCAGTACAACGTTGCAACACTTAAGGGCAAGGACTGAGAATGGGGGTATCAGAGGGGGGCAGTGGACCTTGGAACCCCCAAAAAACTTAACTGAACCTAACTGGTATAAGTGAAATACTTTTATTTTGTAAAATGTGGCTGTTTTTACACTTAATTATCAGGGCTTCCCCTCAAACAAAGAGTTGTATCTCAGTCTTTGCTTAAGGGTACCATATGACTTGACATTTCCAAAACGCTTCTGTCACTGAAACATAGTATTACTGAAGTAGTTTTATTTCTAATCCATTTGCTTTTGATCACGTGTTGTATTACCTTTAAAGTGCCTATGCAGCGAAATTTACCATTCCAATATTTAGAAATCTATAGAATCCTTTAACAGAATTCCGATAAGTTAAAGGTAATGTGTCCATATAAAAGGACTGCGTATACCCAACTTGTCAAGCCACCCATCAAAATAACAGTTTGCGATTGGTTAGTATTCTTGCGATGCAAACTGCTCACATGAAAAGCTAACCTCGCAGCAGTATAGATAAACAAAACGACCATGATGGCTGGGGCGATGACATGAAAAATCACATGTTTCTAAAAACCCCCGCAGAGTCGCTTGCTATAGCTGGACACATTACCTTTAATGGTTCTTTTTTTTTGAGTTTCAAAGTATGCATATTTTGCAGTTGCGTTGCGAAATTTCATTTCCCGCTGTGACGTCACAGTGATGAGTCGAGACTAAGCCATTTAGTCAGGCCGAATTGTGCTGAAAAAGATAGGATAGGGACCCGAACTGAAAATTGCCCCCTTCAGCTATTTTTAGCTGGGGTACTTTCCCATGACTCTAGCGGCGATATTACGATATCTCTGCTGTAAGTACAATAACATGAAACTTTGTAACAAGTGACAATCTGATACGCTAAAAATAAAGACCCCAACTTGAATTTGCCCCTTGTTCTATTTTTAGACTGGGGTACTTTGTCTAGAACTTTATTGACGGTATTATCGTATCTCAGTCTCACTTTGGTAGAATAGCATGAAACTTTGCAATAAGGGGCAGTTTGTTACGCTTAAAAAGATAGGATATGGACCCCGACTGAAAATTGCCCCCTTGTTCTATTTTCAGAGTGCAAGATATGAATAGGAACTATATCACATCTTTCTCAGCGTATCAAACTGCCATATATTGAGAATTTCCGTCCTCCGTTTATGGCCAATGGTAGAATTAGGGGTCTGAATCAGAGTACTCCGGTCTAAAAATAGAACTTAGGGGCAAGATATGATTTTTTTCGATATCCAATCTTTTTCTGCATGTCAAACTGCCTTTATATCGAGAATTTCAGGTTTCTATGACCTGGCGTTCTCCGTTTCTGGCCAGGGGTCTGGACCAGAGTACCCCAGTCTAAAAATATAATTTAGGGGCATCATATGAATTGGGTTCATTTTACATCTTTTTAGGCTTGTTAAACTGCCTTTATATTGTGAATTTTAACTTTCTATGGCCTGGCGTTCCCCGTTTATGACCAAAGGTAAGGTACAATTAGGGGTCTTGACCGGAGTACCCCAGTATAAAAATAGATCTTATGGGCAAGATGTGATTTGGGTTTATATCACATCTTTTTAAGCGTATCAAACTTGGTGTTTTCTGAAATTTTGGTGTTTGTATCACAATTTGCACAATTTTTCTTCATATCTACAACCGCAGTTTCCTGATTGCTGTCGACCCGACGCCACAAACTAGCTTTGATTTTCGCAAGCACTACCTAATTTCAAACTCTGATTAAACACACTTTTGCTGGTCAAATTATGACAATTTGGTGTCAAACGTATAGGAAAAGATAGGAAGATTTAATTTTAAAAAAAAGGGCATAAAATTTTGCTGCATAGACACTTAAATTTTGCTGCAATCTTTTTGAAAAATACCTACATTCTTTATGTTAAAAAATAAGTCCTCAAATGCACAGAAAATTTTGCCTGATAATCTATGCTGCCACACTACATAGGGCCCAGCCACTTCTTTGCAAAGCAAGTAGGTTTAAAGCTGCACTAAAAGGGGTAAGAAGCCTTGGCCCCTATTTGTTTAACCTTGCCCCCCCCCCCACTTTCAAATTTGTGATGTAGGCCCTGCTAAAACACAATTGCCTTTCAGCATTGCTTTAAAGAGTATGATCTGGACTCTTTTAACTGCAATTGATAAGACCTAACATGAACCTACCAATTTTGTCAGGTGTTGGGAACCTTCAATCTTAAGGGTGAAATGATGGTTTAAGGTGAAAGTAGAGATACTCTAGGCTAAAGCAAAAATCTGTATCCAAAATTTGTGTTTTGAGAAGTGTTCAAGTAGCAAAGAAATTTGAAATTTCTCTTACATATTTCATAGCATTTTTCAGGATGAGAGGGCAGCTTATATTAAAGTTGATTAATTTTTTTTGAGCTTCATTCCCTTTCACTCATAATCAAAAGTGGCTTACAAACAAACAATATTTCCTCCAATCAACGAAATATGACAGATCACAGCATCTCAGCATGAAAATCGAAACATGCAAAAACCAGGGAGCCTCATTCAGTGCAGGAGATCTCTCAATATCAGAAATTACAAATAACAAAATACTCAAGCAAGTAAAAGATGATCAAATTAATTGATAGAAAAGATGCATAATAAGAAGTAATCCTACAAACTATAAGTATGATATGCTTTACAGCCCAGTGTTGGAGTACCTCTACCATAGTCAGCTGAGGGGTAGCTATACTGCAATCCAAAATAAATACCATCCCCAAGAAAAAATAAATGCAACAATGATGATGTTTCATGAACCAACCAGATTAATAAGAATACTAATTGATCTCTATGCAGTGAGAAAAGTTATATAAAATAATGCTATACTGTAAATTAAATTTGTCCTTAGTTTATGCTTCATTTAAACTTGAGATGGAGACAATCCAAAAGAAGACAGAATTTGCCTTGGAGAGTAGCCATGGACATGATCATTAGTTGCATCAAAAAATTAATTCATAGAAATTTGCAGTCCATTACTCAATAATAGTCCTACAAAGCCAATATCCAAAGGTTTCATCACACAACTTCATATTGGCCCCTGATTTCTCTCATCATCAGGAATGCAAAGATAATTCCAAGGATCTGCACAAAAGCAAATGCAAGAGCAACAGCACCGATAACTACCAGCTTTCCTTTAACAAAATCTTCAAACCCTTGTTTGCATCCCTTTTGGTAGGCATCTGCTTCAGTGCAAGTGGAGTTCGCACCACCTGATTTGCAGCAACTTGAAGGGATGGTGGAGTTCCAGTCCTTTGGTCCATTGTTTCCACAGCATTTGAACTATAACAATAAACAGATTTGTAATTAAGGATTCGTAAAAAATTCACATAATTAGCATCATTTGTCCACCCAAACAGAAATTCTTTAAAATAGAAAGAGTTCATTTTGGCAAAATGGAAATGAATAAACCTAAACCCTGGCTTCCCCCATTTGTGTTTATTACATTCAAATTCATACCTCTTCCTGGATCCAGTCAAAAAATTGTTCTGCTCCCTTCTCAGAGTGATATTTTTCAATTCCTTTGCTCAGAGCTTTGTCAGCAACAGTGACAACCTGAATAAAAAATGTGTAGAGATGGCATATTTATAAATACTTCATGGAGTTTATTCTGAATAATCTATCAACTATTTTGAAAATAAAGGTCCTTAAAACATACAAACTGAATTTAAATGGACAAAACCACATACTAAATGGAAATGAAGCACACAATATGAATTCATAAAGCCCTATAGAGAAATGTTCCTGTGAAATAAAATCCAATAGCGGTGAAAACTGATACTACACTGTTTGTTTGTCATAAGAATATCGTTTATAGGAATATTCAGGCTTAGAATCATCCAATTTTTAAGAATATACATTATAAAAGTATTGCTCAGTCTCAGCTTGCATATTTTATCTCATTTTTCAGCAGATGCCTGTTTTGGGATTTTCATAACAGGGAAACATAGAGCTGACATATAAACCCCTAAAACCATATATCAGATTTGAAAATTTCTTAAAGAATATATTCTTACAAAAAATAAAAGAGTCTCACCTTCTTCTTGTAGGCTAATCCAAGAGCACCAGCAGCAACTTCCAGGATGAAGATTACAATCATGAAAATAGCAAAAGTTGTCACCATGCAATAGTGTTCTTTAATGGCACCACAGCAACCAAGGAATGCAACAATGAAGACTATAACTCCCACAATGATAAGGAAGATGGCAGCATCAGCATATTTGCCATCAGCAAATGTGAGGTAAATTCCATACTTGCTTTTCAAAACAGCTCCAAGAATTATGAGTGCAAGTCCAGTAAGCTAATGAAAGGTGATTTTAATACATTTACAAGGCTAATAAAGTTAAATTCAAGACAAATTTAAGTTGGTATTAATATTGATAAGGGTAGAATACAATTACAAAAACTCTTGGGACACACTTTTAGACATGAAAAGGAAATACTGTAGGTTACTTATGCACAAAGTCTCTTTGGTGTTTTTAACCTGAATTGTATATTTTTTAGCTAAATTACATATAATTATCCGGAAAAATACTGGCAAATTCTGACACGCCCCATTAACAATTGTTAAATTTAGGGCAAACAATTTTAGGCATTTCTTCAAGTTCTTAGCTCTTTCAACATTATATACTATAAAATATAAAAAAACAGACTGAAACAAATATTGGCAGTAGATTTTTGGGTCACGTTTATCGTGAGAGCAGTTCCCATCGATTTAGTGTTGGGCGAGCTTCGACGCATGACCAACGATCACCAGGGTGTAACGCCCACAATTAGAGAATTGCTGTGTCGTGCAACAGAGGACGTTGAAATTCTAGGGACATTCATAACAAGGTGTTGGCTGAATTTTCTTAAAAACCCAACTCAATCATAGAAATTCCTTTTACTTAAAATAGTAAAAATAGTTTCAAAATCAGAAAGGAGTAACTTCCTATTCAGGGCTAACAAAGTCAGCTGGGATAAGCCTCGTGAGGGCGGACACGAAGAATCCGGATAGGTATTATGTTTTGCTGGATATCAAAGTGTTAGGAGAACGATGGATAGGGCTTTTCCAGGCAATTCTTGAAACCCCCTTTTCGAAATCGAAAAATGTATGTTGTGGGTCAAAGATTGCACAGAGGGTTACACCTTACGAAATCAAACATAAACGAAACTTGTAAAAAATCCTTTAAATATTCATAGTTTGGGCCTAAATTACGAGATCTTAGACTGACGACGATAATAAAGTGATCAATTATAAGAAATGAAAATGGAGTAGCACTGAGATCGTGGATGGAAATACTTCGACACAAATTGAAGTGATAGGCCCTAAAGTTCGAGATCAAATAGCGCTTACCCAGAAAATTGCATTGAAGATAAACATCAACCACTTGATCACACTCATTTTTCCTTCCATTGCCATCTTGTCTGTCTGGTTTCTGCCAAGCAGCTGCTTCGAAACTTCTTATAAATTAGAGCGAACACCTGGTGTCCCTAAACCTTGTCTTTCGTGGATCAAAAAGCCTTCGCCCTGCAAGAGGGCGTGTGAAGGAAATTATTCTAATTTATTCGGTACGACAAAGAGTACCAACCAATCAGAGCATGCTTACAGCTACGTTGCTGTGTGACCGGCATTTTTAGAAGAGTTCTTGACTGTTTTTCCTCAGGGGGGACTGATACAATTGTTGGTAAAGTTAAATTTCAAGTAACCTATTATTTCAATTTTTCAAGGTGTTAGAATTACGTTTTGGGGAAAATTCTTCCACTGAGTTTGTATTCTTTATGCGACGCACAATAGCATTAGCTAACAATGTTATATTAACTTATTGTACGTTGAGACTGGATCCAGAGGTTTTAATTTATTTGTTGTGACTGTGAGAATTACAGCGAGGTGAAAGTGTCATATTTACAAACTTGGATGAAGCCCAAGATTTATATACTTTGTTTTCAAATCTTTCCTTTTTTATTTCATTTAAATTCATTGAAATTAGATTATTCCACGTCCTCTAGAGTTCAATATGCCAGTCATTTTTTTCTGTGATACATCTTAAATTTGAATAAGCCTTTTGCCAATCAAGTTTTTAGTTAATCCCTTCTTATGACTTTTACTTCATCAGAACACAACTAAACAATGATGCAACCCCCGGTATAATCTCACTTTGTGAATGTCCTTCAATACCTAGTATTTCATAATCCAAGCATGGGGAGCGAAGTCATGTGACTGCGATGAGGCTCGTTTGTCGCGGGGGGCGGGGCAATATTGACTCATTAGAAATTTTCTCCTTCACATCGTCTTTTTTGCTTATGGCGCTTGCGTTCGGCTTTCTAAGAACACAAACGGCAAGAGTTTGAGAGTCGTAGCAGCCATGGAGCAGAAAGAAGGTGCCTATTTTACTCAAGAAAAAGAAGGCGAGGCAGTTACATTGAAGATACGGTTTGCACAGTTCAAAGAGGCTGTTGGAACCAAAGAAGAAAGGTCTTGCGAATGCATCAAATGTTTTAATATTGTTCTCAGCGTTCTTTTGTTGGTAAGTTATACTCTTTTGTTTAGTTTTCGCAGCTACCCTGCTGATTCATGTCAGTATCTTATCGAAATTTGTTTATGAGTTTTCTCTGTTTTTCATAAAACTTTTCAACACAAGGAATATCACTTACCCGCCAAATTTGATATACCGAAATTGTTTACGCTTTGTTCCCCTAGTTTACTTTGAGTATGTTTGTTAGTCATCGGCATTCCACAGATTTTGCCGACTCCTTTTTTGAATGCAAACAAATAGAAGTTTATATAACAATCGTTCATGCATATTTTTATCATATCAGGCTATACTTTTCAGTCTGTTACTCCAAGTTTCATGCGTGCGCATTCATCAGATACACTTTAAAGTTTGAAAACTGTCTGTCTTAAAATGCATTATGGGATGCTTGCGTAGCGCAATGGCTCATTGTTAGCAATGAGTCTTTGATGTGCATCGCCCTTCCCTTTCTCAGTTCAGTTCAGTTTCATTTGTTATAGTATTCCTAAACATTCAATATTCAACATTAAAGATAAATCAATACAATAAAAACAATAGCAAAATCATAAGTAAAATTCAAATGTAGATTTAACTTCAGGTAAAATTCAAAGTCCCTTATCATAAGAAAAGATGACAGAGAATTTCAGAAAGCACTGCCTGTTTTAGAATTAATAAACAAAATAAAGAAATATTTTGAATGTTGGTTGCTTTGATAAAATATTCTTCTGATGACCCTGAGTTTAAAGGTCACCAGATGGTTGACTACAGGCAGGCAAACAATACTTTTAAAGATTTATTTCCTTTAAGTTCTTTCTGAAGAATAAGCAGTGGCGGCGCCAGCTATTAAAGAGTGGGAGGGTCGTGGGCGTGGCCAGTGTGACCACACCCCTTTTGCCTCGTTCCAATGATTCATCCCTTTCCTTGGGAAATTTGATCCACCCCTACCCAGCACTTTTTAATCCATTTTTAGAAGAAATATATAGACTAATATATAGACTATCTTTTCAGAAAAGTGGGGAGGTAATTACCCCCCCCATACCACCTCTTGGCACTGCCAATGAGAATAACATGACTTTCAAAGCCTTAAAAAATTCCTAAAGTAAATTTACCTATCCTTTGCAAAAACCTCTTAAGAAAAAGGCTAGTCTGCATAGTATTTCAGTTCTCTGCAAGATCTCTCATTTTCAAGCATGTTTAACCTGTGCAAATCAATTATCAAATGGTTTGTTAAAAAAGGTTTTCGTAGACTGTAGTAAGTTTGCTGTGCAAGTTCAAAAGTTTGCATGCTGCACTACACTAACCTTGCCTGTGCATCTGTCAGAATCTGCAGAAATAAGGTCACTATGCGTTTTTGTTACATCTGGTAAACCTGCTTGAAACCACTGTATGATAGGCAAGATCTTGTCAAGATCTGAGATGCTTTGCAGACTGGCCTTCTTCTTGAGAAGTTTTTCCAAAAAATAGATAAATATTATTTGGGAATTTTTCAGATTCTGAGATAATAGTAAATGATTAAAACCATATTTAAAATAGGGGGTGCTCCCTCCTCGATTGGTTTACCTATTGAGAGAGCTCCACCTTAAGAAATCCCCCAAAACATTTATGTATGATTTATTGTATATCATTTTATGTTTATGTATTTTGTGGTCATTATATGTAACTAGGGTTTTCAGCTACTAAGGATTGTATTTAGAGGAATTTTAAAATATATGAACTGAACTTTAGCTCTTCCGTCATTGCTAATTAACTTTCAGCCCTCATAGACTCATAGATCCATCTTTTATCAGGCCTCTCCAGGAAAAAACAACGCGGGCTACAAAATGCGAGACAGACAAAATGTGTTAGGTTTTGCTGGGCCAAATGTGGCTTTTTGGGAATGTCTAGTTTATATGTCGTGACTTGAAAAGAAATGGTTTCTTATTTGACAGCATGGTGTAATGTTTCTCACTTTAATTATTTGTAGCATTGTTTACGCTTGTATGTTATTCCTTTCGTGCAAACACATTTCCTATTCCATTACAAGTTTTAGCAGACAATTGTTAACATGTGCTGTATAAGGAAATGGAAATCTACTATTTATAACGCCACTTGATAAACTTATGATGTGTAAGACCTCTTTCTCTTTGTTTCCTAACACCCTGCTATTTAGCAGTAAGTAGTACAAACATTTGGAAGCTAAACTAAGGGGATTAAAGGAGAATATTGGTTTGTAAAACTGAGCAAGCAGAAGAAAGCCCTTGCAAATTTATTTTGCGTAGGCGCCAGCTATAGCCCGTGTCTCTGGGAAAGGCCTGTTTTATCTGATAGTGGAAAGTCTTTCCAGGGCAATCTTAAACACCTGTCTCTCCACAAGACTTTTAAATACTAACCATGTTAATATTTAAGACTCTAATACCAATTTTAAATTTTGAGACAGGAAGAATCTCGAAATAATCCCAGATTTAGGTTTCTTATCAACAATGTTATAATGATGTAACTAACTGATAAGGCTAAACATAATCATCTCAGTGAGGAAATTCCAAATAGGTTCATATGAATATTTTAGAACAAATTCCCTTCTGCTCTGTTAATCTTATGTGACCTGCAGCAGTTATGAAAATATTTTACATTAATATTTAATATTAATAGGTCAAAATTTTAATATTCACGTACAATGATCAAAGTTGTCACATAATGATCTGTTTTAATTAACATTTTATATATGTGCAGACAGATGCCTAATAGCAACAAGCTCTAACTCACTTTTTGCTATTATTAAAGTTCACAATTTGATAGGGGTTGAAATTTCTTTTATGAAATTTTACATACAAGTTGCACAATTTTAGAATGAAGATCACTTTACTTTATAAATGCTCAGATTCTTTCAACCATCAATCTCTAATAAACATCACTTTGTAGAACAACTGTTCTCTAATAAGCACATGCTTAAATGAAAATTTGTTATGAGAGAAACAAAAAGTTAACAAAGACTGCATATTTGCTAGGCAGTGCAACAAACAGATGGATATAAGATAAATTTTATTGTTATAGGAATTGAATTTTAATTTTACAGCAAAATTAAGTTGATTACCTTACCAAAGGTTAATGAAATCAGACAGTATTGTTATAAATCTTGCCATGAAAATTTTGAAAATTTTCAATTCTTTAATTGAATAAGGGGCCATTCAAAAA